CTTAGTCTGAAAAAAAAAATACTGAGACCGAAAAACAAAACTAAACAAAACTAAGAACATATGACAGAAAGTGTTACGAGTCCATTGATGAATATAAATGAGCCCATTGTTTTTTTGTGACTTAGGTTATTTTAGAATCAACTTTCCTGCGCCGTTTCTGTGTCGGATAAAAGTGTGTGAAATGTTTTCCTGCTGTATGACGTCAAATAAATTTAATGGATCCATATGTTTGAATTCAAAAAATTAATAAAAAAGTTATTTAAAACAAAAATAATCGAAAATGTATAACAAATTTTCTTTCCAATCCCGAAGGTTTAAACTTTAAAGGAATCCTTTTGTTAATATGCAATACAAATTTAATTTTATAATTTTTATTTGGGTTTAACAGTTCTTATGTTGAGTAGATTTTTGAATGATCGTAAAAACTTGATGGACACGGACCAGTACCTGATTGTAAACGTTATTTTTTATTTATATCATCATTTTAACGCCCGCTATCTATAAGTAAAGTTTGGAGATGTATTTCTTTACATGTTACCTTCACTAGGCCTAATCCATGGATCACGTCTAGTTGAGGTTGGAAACAGCAACTTTGTGGGCCATTACAATTTTAATACAGTTTCTTGCAATATTTCCACATTTTGACAATATGCATACGACCGTAACATTAAAATCCATGATAGCAATTGAAACGATTTTCGTTAATGTTTTATATAAATATATATATATTTAATAAATATCTAGTATAATAATAAAATAAATAATACATATAAATACAATATATACACAATAGCACAATACAGACTCTTAAAACAAGTCGAGGGTTGAAAACAGCTTCGTTGAATAATACCGATAACAACAACTGAAAATTCATGAAAATTCCATTCATCTGTGATCTGTGTGTACAACTGGGCCTGTGTGTACCCCAGAATTTAGTGTATTGATCGCTTCGGAAGAGCTGCTTACAAGTTATGATGCCCTGGTACTTTCCGATCAGTTGTCCATTATCGATGATTGCCGATAAAGTTTCTTTCTTGATCGGCTCTTTACTGGATAATTTGTAAAAAAAACCTGGAAACAGATATTTTTGCTAACAATTTTTGATGCCTATTTTAAAAAAGCTTTAATCGCATTGAATAAATTAAATATAGAGTAAACTTAACTAATTTGTATTTACTGTAAAAAAAAATAAAGTTTATTTATGGTAAGTACTGGAATGAAATATAAAAAAAAATGGCCAAATAAAATGAGACGTCCATCATAAGAGTTTGGTTAAGTGTTAGGAATGGAATTTAAACTCCGATAGAGTTCAAAACCTCCGTTAGTACCAGGAGAACATAAAGTAGTAGGAATTCGTCGCATTCCAATGTCCTTATTGTCTATGCCAACCAGAATCGGGGTCGTCGAACCAGCTACACGACAGAGACAAAAAGGGGATACTATCTCTATCTCTTTCGTAATAACAAAATCAATCTTAAATGTATGTTTATAAAGACGAAAATCCTATAGTGACTGTTAGAGCCCGTTTACGCAAGTACCAAGGAGTACCAACCGATATAAGCAAATTGATTTAACATTTTTTCCAATCTACAAACGGTGCCAGTGTTTCTTATACCTTGATAACTTACAACTAAGATGGATTTTTGTTTGCTGTCTTTGCAAATTTTTTGATATATAGAGAGCGTGAGAAACTCGGGATGAAACGTCTTCCACAGTACCAGGCTATCATAACAAATTCACAGTTTGAGTTATTAAACTTTGTAAAGTTTCGAGTAATTTGATTTTTCTGAAACTTTTTTGGTACATAGATATAATATAATGAGTTAGAAGTTGTATATGGTCATCAAAAAATAAAATACTTAATATACATAAGTTAGAAAGGTCAGGGAGGGAGGGACTAAGGGACTAAGAAAATTATTGGGAATGTATTGGAAATCATCGATATTGGACGAGGTATCGAAAAGTACTAGGCTCACATAAGACATGAAGAGTTCTATCGAACGAATCAATAAACGATATCCTCTATCTATCAATATAGCATTTTGGATCAAATTTAATTTGGACTTTATATGCTTAGCAACAAGGATCTTCGTAATTCTGTTGCCATGTGTACAACAAGGGCGACGGCCGGCAGGTGTTCCTACAGGCAGGTGCTGGAATGTGAGTAACTCACACATACAAACTGTTTTGGTTTCGTGTTTTACGACAGCTGCATCCCAAATCTTTCTTATTTACAAATGTTAACTTCACATCCGGATTGAATCGCCACCATTATTTTTTTCCTTTTTTAATTGATTTTAAATAACTAGGCTTCACGTTTGGAAAACTTTGTGATGGTTTCGCAACTTCTATTTGATGAAACTATTTCAGATTCTCTTATCAACAGAAAGTTTAATACAACTTGAAAATATATAATATATGGGTGTAATTAAATGAAAGATAACTTTTGTCGAGTATAATTTTTTTCTTATAACCACTTATTCTTAAAAACACAAACACATTATCTTTTCCACTTTTCTTAGGACCCTCAACCTGAAACGGGAAAAACATAAAATTAAGTTCAATGATTAAAGTAAGAGGCATGGGTCAATACTAAGTTTTATACAGCCTTTATTGTATAGAGCAAACTTGTCACGGACAGTAAAATAATTTGTTAAAGATTTGTAAAAGTCCAAACACTTTATAAACCAACATGACGATAGTAAGTAGTTCTCCAAAGGTCTTAGAACAAGTTTTTTTCCTCACCTAAACACTGTCAGTCGAATTTGTTTTTTAATATTATATATATGATTGGCTATGCGAAGGGCAATCTACTCTAAACATTAAGTATCCATTGACTAAGAATCTATAAATACATAAGTAAATACATAACTACTGGTCAGTGATAAACAAATGGGAATATTAATGAAAACATACGTTAACTGAATGAAAACATGGTTTAGGAATTAGAACAATAACTTTAGCTCTCATTAAAAGGAATAAAAATTCTTTATAGTACGAAAAATAAACCATTTCAGATATTTTGTGAATCGACCGTTACCTTCAAATTAAGATTAAGTTTCTGTATTAAAATTATTATTGTGACAAAAGCCCTTTTTTGTAAGATCTTGCGAACCATATATTTTCAATCCTAACACTTTCATTTATATTCGTAATTTATAGAGAAAAATTAAAAAAAAATGGTCTTTGAATGTTAGTAAAGAACCTTCAAAATGAATGTTTAGTCAGTTTGTTCATGTTTATCAAAATCTCTGGGTAATATTTGAATTATCTCTTAATGTAAATGATTTGTAATTAAAGTGTTACAGTAACAGTGGAAATTGGTCTGACAATTTCGAATAATCTCCTATATATATAAAAATGGATTGCTGTTCCTTAGTCTCGCTAAAACTCGAGAACGGCTGAACGGATTTATCTTATCTTAGTCTTGAAATGTTCGTGGAGGTTCAGGGAAGGTATAAGAGCTGAAAAAATAAATTAATTTCCGGGAAAACAATAAAAACAGCGCTTTTCTATTTCCCATACAAACGGGTTTTTTGACATTAGATTTGACAACTAACTAATATGTCAATCATTCTGTCGCACTTTAGAACACGGAGATTTATGGCTTAAAGGTAAAGTCTAAAAAAATAATTAAGAAATAATTTATTTCTTGATTGAGGCAGTACGAAGTCTACGGGGCAGCTAGTCTTACGATAAAATATCTTGTAATATGAGCAGTATGTTTCCCATAAAATAGAGGACTTTCTCAATATTCAGTATTCACTGTACACCAGTGTTGGAAGCAATTTATAATTCTAGATCCCATTTATCTCTACATATTTATTTTGACTGATTAATTAGATAGACAGCTTTTTAAACATATTTCACGTCATTTGCTCCTTAGCTAGGGTAAATATAGAGGTACTTATGGCAGCATTATGGATTATTCCTTACGCACATGATTTTAATGTAGAAAATCTATTGCTAGAAAGATTATTTACATTCAGTCCAGTCCCACAAAATTAATTTTCTCTTAAACGATGAGTTGTTATCATAGCGATGCGACCCTTTGTTCAGTTGTTATAGTTTTCCTAATAGAGCTTAATTTATTTCCTTACCATTTTTTCTTCTTACCTTTAACATGACCTTTCCCATCAAACGAAAAACTCACCTTCTAACAAATCTTGTCTTTTCAAATCAGATCTCTTCTTTATTAGTCTAACAAATATCAGTACATAGAAACGGGAAGGAGGACGTAGGAAGGCTTATGTAGACCAGCTCTTAAAGACTTTTTAGTATAGCTTTGTATACCAGCATACCATTGACATTTTATATATTAAAACAATATTTAAAATTATTTTCTTGTAGTAAATTCTGAGAGTAGGTTGTAGTTTTATTCTTCCTGATAATAATTAATTTGAATATGGTCAAAAGGCTGTTTGGCATTCGTAGAACCACTAATCATTAAAATAATTCACAGTAATATGGCAATACGCTTTTGAAATATAATAAAATAGTCTACAACACAATCATAATATATGTACAATATATACTAATATTTTATATGGATTTTAACAAATACAAATAAAACTAAATGTTGATCGATTACATAATGTTTAATCTTAAAATACCAAAATACAATTTAAGACTAAAATAAAATCATTAAATAAATTATATAAAATTTCAATTGTAAACAGTTTGATACTTTTATTAAAATATAAAATAGTTATTCTTATATTAAATTGTTTATTTACTGATTTGTCTATGGTCACTTTAATAAAATTACATTACAGAATAAAAATAAACGACCACAGTGTATATAATTTGTACATAGACGCTACCAAAAATGTTTAAACAAAGTTACGACAATCTAGACATCTGTCAACTCAACAGCTAACTAGCAGATTATAGAGAATTCAAAAATCAAATTAAAATCCACTAATAATGAATCAAAGAATTTCGCTAACATCTACTGAAATTACTTGATACATATGTATTATGCGTTTTTTTTGTGTGTTTTAATACGCGTGGTTAGCTACAAAGAGACCGGCTTCAGCGCCCACACCTGTTACGGATCCAGCGACGTATTTGCCCTGGCTGGCTTGACCGTTTGCCTGTTGAAAAACAAATGCATTATGTATAACATGTAAAATTGCTAATAAAATATCATAGACAGTACGAGCATGTGCTTATTACTAAGGTATATATAAAACAGTATTTTTGATTTGAGTTACAATAATATTTTTATATTTGTTGTACCGCAAATGCTTTAAAAGTATACGTAAATATAGAAGTGAGGATTGGTTTTATGTTAAACGTTTGTTATGAATATATGTAAGAACTTGAACTTTTTACATTAAATGATTAATGTTTCTTTGTTACCTTTTATTAGATTGTCTATATAATCTAATAAAAGGTAACAAAGTTTTTGATTATTTTCGCACTGATCACATTACGAGTGATATAAACTAATGTTTAGTTTGTAATCTTGCGTTTACACTCTTTTTCTATATATGTGTCACCTTTTCATGACGCATGTTAATTAAATAGTCTCCGTGAATTTGTTTTTGGTCGAAGATTTTGAATTCAAGTTTACAAGCGTCCTTATTGACCGGTTTATAAAAGATTACTATCTCGTAATATATTTGTATCTGGCTACGATTTGCAAGATGGCTTTGATATTTATTATTCGACTTGTCGGTAGCTGTTATGCCTATTGGATTAAACAGCGTCTGGAGGGGTAATTCATATTCTAAAGGGATATTTCAAAGGGACCTTCTAAAAGGCTGGTTCCTCGGCTAAGAACTTCGTTAAGGGTAGAGTTTAGCTTTAGGGTTTGAAATATGTGTACGTCAAATCCCGACGACACCATACATTATTGACCGATTGCTTTATACAACTGTGAATTCACCTATAGAATATTTACTTTGTGTTGCAGACGGCCCCTAAAAAAATCCTTTTAACATAATAGAATCTATTTTTCTGTAAGGGAAGGGATCGTAATTTATTAAGATTTTTTTAGGGTTTGTAGCAATACTTGAAAAGGAGATTACTACAATATTAGCAAATTTAAAAAGAGTTTAACAGTTATCTGTATGTAGTGTAATAATATGTATGAAATAGTACTGATCGGTGTTTTTCACCTATACCTACCTAATATTTACATACAATCGATTCCCTTGCATTTTATTTAAATACACGTATGTCATACATTACCATAGTTAACTGCAAAAACGAATGCCTATTTTTGGTAAATGAATTTGTGTCAGGAGAGTTAAATCCTAAGTCTTATCAATTGGATTTTGCAATATAATCTGCATGCATGAACGCGTAATCTATATGGATTGTAATATGAATTAAAATGTTTAGCGTCTCCATAAATGATTCTTGTTTTATAATGTGAGACCCTTATCCTACGACATTACGGGACCATATAGGACTTAAATAATTATCTTTCAAGCTTATGTCCATATTTACCTGTTTTTTGTTCTGTAATAAAATCTAAATACGTATAAATTAAGTTTACCAACATAAGTTGACAGGTCGTTATGGTCTGGTGTCTTAAGTTTCTTGAAAGACTAAAAACTTGTTAAAAATAGTATGTATTTTTTTTAATTTATGGTAAACTGAACAGAAGGGGCGTCAAATTGTTGAGATGTACTTTGTGTTTTAGGCACTGTCAGAAAAAAATTGAGACAGCAGCCTTTTATAACGAATTCACTCAATATAGATAAATTTCATGAGTATCTACATTTTTTATGAGATGTATTATGTAACGTTGCAAATTTTAATACAATAATAAAGAAGTTAATAGAAATTAGTTCAATTATAATATGTCAGAGTTTAACTAAGCCATTTAATAAATATTGTATTTGTAAATAAAAAATTAGGGCGGTTTCAGACTAGCGTTATATACGCGCGTATGAGCTGGTTTTTGGAAGCGCATGTAGGCGCGTATAGGCGCGCCTTTTGGCACACGCTCAACTCGTACGAGCGTTGTCGCGCTTCTAAGCTCGTATAAGCGCGAGCCGCGAGAGACATCTCCCCGCGCGCCCACTTCCACCTTATTGTGATCACAAGCCTCTCTTCAGCAGATATGCTTTTCCTTAACACAGTATCCTTATGCTCTAACTGTGATTTTAACATATTTAACAATATATCAAAAGTGCTCAAAGACATTCTAAAGTAATTTTTAAATCGTCTAGAATCACTTCGCAGTTCTGGGTAAAGTGTATAAGGCCTCGGCCTCGAATTTTGCGGGCAGCGGAGCGGCGGCGGCGGCGGCACGGAAACGCATACTGTTCTCCAAACTAGCGGGCACCGCTGTATTCGAGGGTCGGTCCATTTGATTATACGCGTAAGATCCTGCCGCTCCCGCTACCGCTCCGCTGCCCGCAAAATTCGAGGCCGAGGCCTTAAAGTGACCGGTTATCAGTCTTGATGCAACTATCGGTGACACCCAGCACTTTTTCCGTCGTCTCAGTCGACGGCGAATAAGTAACGCAAAAAGTAATGTTTCTTCGTCAGAATCCATGTTGATACTGACACGATACCACCGGTTCGAGCGAACACGCCGAAATATGCGCGTTTACGCGCGTCCGGTTTTTTGAAGCGCGTAATGTAGCGCGCGTGTAAGCGCGTATACTGAAACGACCATATACGCGCTGAAAAAAACGCTAGTCTGAAATCGCCCTTAATAAATAAAAAACCTACATATGTAAATGTTTGTCTACAACCATTATTTTAAATTTTCCGTATGTAAATTTAGTAGTGCAATTGTTACTTAACAATCATCAAATAAACGGATTTTAAAGTATGAGGCTAGATGAGGAAGTGTGGAGTAAGGCAATATGATTCGCCTTCAAATCTAATATATGTTGAAATATGTATATGTAAAATATACTACATATGACTCAGGTCTTGATTGTTACACCAGCCCTAAAGAGTAATTACTTTCGTTCTAATGAATACGTTTCTCTATATTAGTAATATTTTTTTTTAACTCCAATAAGAAATCACTTATCGCAGAAATTATAGATGGTATCAAAAAAACTCTTAATCTTAGACACAAAAGAGTATATAGAAAAAGTTATTTTTCTTAATTTACCTCCCGTAACGGTTAATGTATTCTTGTACTGGTAAAATAATTAGTAACAAATTGAAAAAAAACCTATTATGTTGTTATATATAAGCTGATTCATAAAAATATACTTCTAATACATATGTATTATAATTTTTTTTACTAACCTGAATCTAAATTACTATGGCTATATCTCAATAACCACGTGATTTAACCCTGATCAGGAATTTTCACCAGTGAGGTTGGATCAAAAATAACGCAATAAAATTTTTGTACTTACCTCATCTTCTCAGTGGAAAAAATATTCGATTCAACATTTAATCTATTTACTACGACTATACTACTCAAACATAAATCTAAATAAGATACAAAACATACAAACAAGTTCACTTAATGAAGGTATAAAAAAACACAACAATGTTAAACACTTTATTAAAAACAATGTCTGTTAGTACACATATAAAATGATTATGAACAAGTACTACATCAAACTAGCGATCACTTACAATCTACCACAGCTATATAACAGATAGATTGCAAACAATATATAAATGCATAATATTAAATAATCAGTACGTCTTTTAAAATAATTTATAATGATTATGTTCTTTTTAAGTGATTCGAGTCTTTTAATGTACTTGATTGATTATTTAATATGCGTGCGATTTAACAAAGTTAGATTTAGAAGCAGCCAAAGATGGGATTGATCCAGCGACATATTGGCCTCTAACAGCAAGACCGTTAGCCTGTTGGTGAATCGATTATTTTATCGTATCCGATTCGATTCGGTTGTCATGTTTTTGGTAGTGGCCAGATGAGGAGACAGCAGCGTTGAGAACGTGCGGAAAAATAAATGATATTAGCTACGTACGACACAAACTAATTAATGAACAACGACAATATAAATGAAGACGAAAAACGAATTAGCAATTATAATTTGCTTTTACGTTATTCGTCCTCATTCATTCAACGAACACACAACATGCAGATACAAAGGTTAGTTTATTTTATTAAAATACAACACGAATAGATTAAATAGTATGAAAGTTAATTATGAGATTCTACTTTAGTAATCAAACATGTGCAAGAAAATGTAACTTCCAATACGGGAAATCATATTTTCTTAGTTATTTTCATATTCATTTGTTGAAATATTTACTTGTATTCCAAGCTCTCATAAAGTGGAATAGATTTTTTTTAACCTGTCCCCGTTGTGGTAAAACTTTTGAGACAGTTCCTTGTTGTACCATTAAGTTACCAGGCCATCATAAATGGTATTGACGGTAAGATCCAGGGGTAACAAACTGTTAATACATTCTAACATACATATACAATACCTTGTATCAACATCTGGCAATATTACCAGTACGCCATATGTGGGCCTAAGTGTCACAAATTCCTGCATTCATCCAAACTGAAGACATCTATATAATGTTACCCATTGGACCGTATAAATATATAAATTACCTAAGACCGCCGTCAAGATCTTCAATCTGCATTATCAGCATATTCTTAAAAGCAACTTTAAGTAAGTAAGCAATATGTTAGAGTAAGTTATTTTGAATACCTTAGCACGTTTCAAGAGTTCTTGTTGTCCGGCGAGTACGTTCTCGTTCTTTCCGGCCCAGGCGCGAAGTACGGAGGCCTGGAGGGCCCGGCCGTAGCTGAAGGTCAAAGCCCAGGGCCGCTTGAGGTCCACGGTGTTGATGGCGTTCAGATTGACAGACGCCTCCTCCTCAGATTGACCGCCGGAAAGGAATGTCACTCCTGGAAATTAAAGAAATGTATACCATTAGTATAAAATATTGAGATATTATTCAGCTGATAGGATATGTGATGGAAAAATACTGAAACTTTGTTTATATAACTAGAAGACCCGGCGAACTTCGTATCGTCCTATAATCAGGAAATATCTGTTACTTTTTTTATTTATATTTTTGGAGTTTACCTATTAAAGCCTAAATCACCGTGTTTTGAAGTGCGACAGAATGATTGACATATTTGTTAGTTGTCAAATCTAATGACAAAAAAGAAGTTTGTATCAATGACTACTAATAAATTAAATATTAATTAAAAAAAACATTCTCGAGCGGACAAAATTGTGAACATAAAAAATTCCCAGATCACCTTGAACGCACACAAAAAATTTCATCAAAATCGGTCCAGTCGTTTGAGAGAAGTTCAGTGACATACAAACTCACAGAAGAATTATATATATATATAAAAATAACATACCAGGAACTGCAGCAGGTACGGTTCTCAACAGAGCAGTAACGGTCGCGCGACCAATGTCCATTGGAGTGTAAGTCTTCTTGCAGGACTGACCGGCTGTCACCTGATAATTTGGTAAAAAAAATTCAAAAATTACTTCCATCCAAGTGTAGTGAACGTTTATTTCAGTGAATCTGATGACGTCACTCGACCACTTCATTATATAACACGTGTTGTGAAGGTATTTGGCAACGCTACTAATTGACGCATTCCCTTTTAGTATATTTAACAATAGACTATTGATGGGCACCTATACGTTTAGTATAAGGTTTTGATATAAAAAACTGATATAAATCACTAAATCATGTGGTTAGAAACTTTCAAGGGGCAGACAAAAGTTATTCTAAAGTTTTGTAAGTCATGTAATGATATGAAATTAATGAGATATTGTTTGCTTTTCCTCACCATGTTTGGTTTCAGTAGAGTTCCCTCAAGGTACACGTGGTGATCGCTGAGCGCCTTGTACACGGCAGCCAACACCACCTCCGTCACCTTCTGGGCGCGGTCAAGGTCGTGCTCACCTAAAAAATATTAACTCCTTTGTATATATGATGTCCTGGTACTTATTACTTAAAGAATTTCGATGTCAAAGAAAATTTTTAATTTGTTTTATCCTATTTTTTAGTACAGCCAAAACTAACTAACTAATGTTTATATGTTAAATAATTTGTATAAGAGTTTTTGAACATTTATTACTGTTGAGCAAAAACTATTTGACCGATTCTAAAGGGATTTAAATCAAAAAAGTTTTGCTTTAATTATAAAATAGGTCGTATATTTATTTAGAAATTTCGTAAATTATGGAAGATGTATACACATTACTGTAACTGCTAATGTGTTTATTGTCCGATAGATAGCACTACACATTTTCTTATACCCACATCACAATTTCTCTAAGGCCAATTTTGTAGTGTAAACGTAAACAATAACTTTATATCTATCTGTATTTACTGTAAATTAAAAAAAAACGTCCACGTAACTATCATCTCATTTTCATTGAAGCTTAAAAAAATTTTGGACCAAAAATATATTCTATATCCTTTGTTCTCATGTTTTCCTAGTACTTTGGTAATGTTATGTAATTTTAGTCTGGGCATATAAAACCAAAGTCATGTATGGAAAATAAGACTTTCTAACTATAATTAATTTTCTTTTCAATGCTGTTAACCATTTGGACGTACGTGTACACGGTATGACATACATTCAAGTCTTGGCAACCATCAGCATACCCGTGGACAAAGACGACACAGGAATGTCATGTGATAATGATACGACTGACACTAAACTATTCAACGATTACAACCTGTATATATATTTTTAATTTTTTTATTAATACAACGTTCCAAACAAAAGAGGATGTATATAATTTATACAGTCATCTAATAGCATTCTATAATTTTTTTTTAAAATTCAAATTTAGAACACAAAAGAGGTCGTATATCTTTTCAAATTTGGATTGACATTCCAAATTTGTTTAATTGTTCGGTCAGAAATCAGTATAGCTTACCATCAGGAAGTACTTCGGGTTCAACGATTGGTACGATGCGCTGGCTCTGGCAGATGGATGCATAGCGAGCCAATACGTTAGCGTTCTCCATAATGGCCTGGTAGGATGGAGTGAAGCGGCCGATCTTAAGGACGCAACGCCACTTGGCGAAGTGACAGCCATCCTTCTTGTATTGAGCGCAGCGCTGGGCAAGATCGTCCAAACCTGAGACATTATAAAGAAATATATACATACATACATACATACATACATACATATTCTACCTGATTTATATAACATTCATTTAATTTCTCAAAAATAATGATGTAACAAACAATATCACAAATATTTTAATAACAAAAACATTCTTAATGTAAATAAAATTATTTTTGTTTCTTTATCAATTCGACCTTTGCTTTAAAACGTTATCGAGACAAGCCCCTTGTATTGTTACAGTTCAACATTAAGTTTTCAATGTCAATAAATAAATTAAATGGCTATACAAATTTTGAGCAGTTAGATCTCTTTGGAATTAATTAAATTTATAAAATTTTAATTTCTTAGAATAACATGTGCATTTTATTAAGAAACTAGCTTCGCCCGCGTGGAGTTCGGTTATATCGCGTTTCCAAGAGAACCTTTCAAAAGTATGGGATAAAAACTATCCTATGTTCTTTCTTCAAATTTCATTAAAATCAGTTCAGTGGTTTCGGCGTGAAAGCGTAACAGACAGACAGAGTTACTTTCACATTTATAATATTAGTAGGGATGACGAAATCGACTCTCTTGCACCATACACTCACCACAAAATGTCAAACTATTATATATTCTATATATGGTATAGTTCAATTTATACACACCCTGTGTAGTGCACTCGTCCTCAGAGCCGAACAGCGGGACAACACCCTTATCCACCTTGATTCCAGGAATGATGCCTCTCTTCTCCAACAAGGACACTAGAGGTGTTCCGTCATCAGCCTTCTGGTACAGAGTCTCGTGGAACAGAATCACGCCAGAGATGTTCTCCGATAGAGCCTGCGGTTTGATAACGATTGATTACGATTGATGCATATCAATTTATAACCAGATGCTATGAAAAATATTGTTAGTGTAAAATATAAGCGCCAGTGATTGCTAAATACATGTTATTTCTGAATCGCATTTTGCTATTTTTATGTATGTATCGAAAAGGATTTTTTTAATTTCCTCTTCATTTCAAAGGTTGAACCGATTTTAATGAAAATTCTACCTGTGTTATAGAGAAATGCAACGACAGAGTTATACATAATATATAATTTTAAGATTAATTTTTTTTAAGCTTCTAAAGCCAGGGAAATTATATATTTTGATTCTATATTCAATCATAAAATAAGCTACGCACCAACGTATAGTCGTATAAATAAAAAATTACTCCTAATTCAACAATTTACTCAATGACTCACAACTAGATTGATATACGTGTCGCGAGTCACGTCGGCAGTCAATTGATTTACAGGAAAGAAATTCGCCAACAAATTAGAGAGTAAAATCGCAAGGCAACTATAGTATAAAGATCTACACGAACAGGTTTCTAGATAGCTACCTTTAAATACTATTCAGATATATCGCATTGCCATAAGCTATTTTATACTATTATATATGTATATTCAATTGAATTTAGTATATATCAACATATTTATATAAATATATAGGCTCTAATAATATTTAAAATAATGCCATAAAAAGTATTTTTCCTTATTTATATATAAAGAGATATCATATAACCTCTTTCTTGGAATGTTTTTAGTGGTCGAGGTTATCGTAGGAACAATTGAACCCAAATTTAAAGATATTTCTTCAATTAGATAATGGAGGCGAAGGGGAAATTTTAAGCCAGAGTTATTTATAGGGTAACCCATTTTTTTTATAGCAACAAATTTCCATACAAAACTTCATATTTGTCCCCTCATTTTATTTAATTGATTTCTTTCTGGCAACACTAGTATTGATATATTTTATTTTGAGGTATAAAGCGTCCTTACGTACAAAGTTACATGTCAGTACAAACGGGTCTTGGAAACTGGAAAGTGGAGTCAATGACTCAAGTTGCCCCACACTAAGTACTGGTTACTATCACGTCTTTTATAAATAACTATACAAGTAAAATTCGCCACAAATAACATGTTTATTAGACATTCGCAATGATATAATTATTTAGAGTTATTGGATACAATTAAAATTAAACATTAATAGCGATCAGGATTCGAACCCGCTACTTTCAATGTCATTCTTTATTGCATTTAAGCTATCGTGTCAAGCTACAGTAGAGGATACATAATGCACATATTTTTATTTTGTACACTTTTGGCTGAATGGATTTTGATGACATTTTCAATTGATATTTATCTGGGCTGTATTATAAAGATTCCATCGTAAATACTGAAAAAATCAAGCGTATTTTTAAAGAAATGTGATAATAATAGCTTACCGGGTCACTGCTGAACAGGAGCTGGCGGTACTTGCGGCGGTTTTCCTCAGTATTCTCCACACCAATGTCCTGGAGACGCTTGCCCATTGTACCTATAAAACATTAAATATATACCACAGGAACTACTACAATAATCAAACTAGTTTTTGCCCGCGACTTCGTCTGTGTTAGTTTCAGAGTTAGAAATTTATAGCTGATCGGAGGAAACCTACTCTTCTACAAAGGTATAATAAGAAGATTTTGAATTTGATCAACCAATTTTTTTTCTGTTCCAATCGGATGAAAAGTACTCTATGTCTTTTCCCTTGTTCTAAACTATCTCTCCACCAATTTTCTGACAAACAAGTACAGCCGTTCTTGAGTTATAAATAGTGTAACTACCCCGACTTTCTTTTATATATATCATACATAACATGAAACAGATGTACAGAACAATTGGATCACCTTAACCATTATACATAACTTATTAATATATGATATTTGTATGGGTTTTTCAAGTATAACTTACCAGTAGACTCGTCAGCGGCGAGGATACCCTTGCCGGGGGCTACGATCGCCTGTGCGATCTTCCTCAGCTCCTCTTGAACCTCGGGGGTTGGGTATTGGAAGTAGGTGCTCATGGTTGCTACAGAGAAAAATATACCTTATACATCTTGAATTAAACACCACAATACCTATGTTGCCCTGGTACTTATATTCCATTAATACGAAATTATTGAGACTTTCAAAAAAAAGAATACTATGGAAGTAGGTGCTCATTGTTGCTAAAGGGAATTTATACTTTATATTAGTCAAATTAAACACCCTAATACCTACGTTGCCCTGGTACTTATTCATATTCCATTAAAACAAAATTATTGAAAGACTTTCAAAAAAATAATACTATGGAAGTTGTTCACTCATTGTAAGCTAATGGATATTAAAATATACTTTCAATTGCTCAACTAAACACCACAATACCTATGTTGCTCTGGTATTTAACATATTCCATTTAAAAATAATATATTATTTAAAAAAACAAGTATTTTTAATACTATTCGTATTTTTCCAGTCACACAAGTTATTTTTGTATTTATCACTATGACATTTGGATTCACTATCATAACCTTTATTGACCTTCACAACTAGTTTTGACACACCTCCAAAACTTAACAGTATCGTATATTATTAACGATATTAAAAACAAGTTTATCTTTCAAGTCCTGGACATTAGTTTTTTGATAAGTCACTGATAAAGCAAGTTTTATTACAACAATTCTTTCTCAAATGGAATGAATGTCTAAAATACATGATTTTGTCATAAAAGAGATACTGTTAAATAGTTTTTAAAATTTTACAATGACAAAAAAGAGATTTAGATTAAAAATGCAGCTAAAAGAATGATCATTATTTACAAATCTTTAATATAATTGTTGTTTCTATAATACCTTTGGTTCCAAAGCCAGGCATCCATCCTGACTCCGGTGGGCCCTTTTTACCCTTTTTACCTTTTGGTCCCATATTTTTATTTTGTATTTATAAATAATTATAAGAAAAATCTTATACCCAACATTATATCAAAATCTTACACATTTTATCAAAAACTCACCAATGTAAGCTGTCACCGCATAATCAACAGTGAATATATACAAAATTCAAAAATAGAACTTTCTTATAATAAAAAATAAACAATAAAACCTTTTTATTTTATTTAATATCAATGCTATATGTAACATCAAAAGAAAAATTTACCTTTAATATATATATTTTTATTTATTTATAATTAGGCATTCATAGAATGATGAACCAAAAAAAATTCAATTCCTATTCTATTGAGTTGTATTGTCAAATAAGTTGTCATTATATGTTTTCTTGCGGAACCTAATGTACTTAAAAATGGTTAAAATGTTTTAGTGTGTGTTAATTAAATATAAAAATGAATATTTTATCTAACATGTACAAAGTAGTAAACTTCATAACAGTACTACCAAATTATCAGTATCAGATATTCAAAATAAAATGCATTGGTCTGTAAACAAGTTGATGATGAAATATTTATATGGTTCAAAGATAGTATACTCATTATTACCGCTGATATGGCAGTAACATATCTAATTCTTTACACTTCTATTGTCATACATAGCAGGTATATACTAATTTTTGTTCTAGCTATGAACTGAACTTTGATCATTTACTCTAATTTTTTGACGAAGTTATACTATTTCCTCATGTCTGATGAAGTTGAAATTGTAGTTCATATTTATTTTTTTTAACCTTTAATTAAATGAAACACATTGAATACAAGTATATTGAAACAGTAAATGGTCTGATTAAAATGGCTTGTGATTTCGATAACTGTACATTACTCTTTGAGATATATTTGTTTCATTAATGCTTTGGAATTGTTATATAGGTTGAAGATTTTTAAGGTGACCGTGACCTTGAGAGGTCATACAAATTGTGCGCTGTAAATACGATAGTTTTATTTATGGTGACTGAAAGTACTTTCTAATAAATTGGAAATGTACCAAAATACAACCTAAGGCGTAAGAGTATAATTAATAAGAAAAAATAATAATTATCTTTATCTATTACTCTCCCCTTTGCCCTTAAATTTAACAAACAAAATACTTCGGAAATATTTGTCAAAAATATATATTTATTTGAAGAACTAATTTAAGTAGACATATTAAAAGTGTATATATTTTGTTATTTATTTTAATACATGTCTTCATTATAGATTCAATTTCTATATATGTAAAATTTAGTTAAATACGATCTATTTTTACTTAAAAAATCTTTATACGTTTCCCACAAGTGAAATTACATCACGCAAAATAATTACTGAAATTATGTGCCACGACACATGAAAGAGGAGAAAGCTAACACGACTAAATTATCAAGTATCTAAGTTATGCAAAATAAATTAAATATTAGATAGTACTTACATTTTAAATATATTTCTTATAAGAATACGGAGCTACTGTATAGCCAGTCCTGCACTGAATACGACTGTCAAATTTGTTAACCGAGTAGAGGACACGAATGAAAGGTCATTTGAAGGTCTGATAATATATTCTAGCATCGTAAAATACTTTACCGACGTTTAATGCTGCCATCTCTAATCTGATGAACGAACTATTTATAATCTCACTTATCAACACACATTAACAAGATTGTCTATGTTTATTCCAATAGATGGCAGTGTACAGAAAAATCTATAACAAAATTTAATGCACAATTTTTTTTAAATATTACATAATTATTAGTCTAACCGTACTAAATTTATAATATACTATTTATATTTATAATTATGCTATAAAGATTTAAAAATGTACAAATAGTTATCAAACGAATATTGTTTTATTTCTTTTATACCTTAATTATTCCAAAATTAAGATTGTCAATGTGTAATAGTAATTTAAGCAATATGAAAATATACCTTTTTAATGTATTATTTGGTTAATGATAATATAAGTACAAAGTGACACTCACGATAACCCGTCTTTCGATAGCTCCGTATTATAATTTTATTGTTAAAATTTTATCTTGAGTCAAAAGATAAGTTTGTTCTGTCAATAGTTTTAATTCCATATTCGAGAAAAGTGGTGTTTAGACAAAAAGTCCACAGGTAGTAGGTAAGTACCTAATATACTTATATTTGAAATAAAGAACGGGAACAATAGAATTGGTAAACATAGTGGAGTGGTTTTCAATTTCAAATGTTTGTGAATTTTCTTTTGTGCTAAATAAATTACGTTATGGTTTCGCATTTATAAAATATCTACACGATTATATAATATGCTTGTATAATTTGAAAGCGAAATTTATATATAAGTAAGGGTGTAGACAATTAATTAAATCTTTCGCGGAATATATTCTGTTATTTTTATTTTAGTAACAATGCCAACCTTCTTCTCATACCCTGATCTTGAGCTTCAAGAGGAGCTCAAACGGACTGCCGAGGCCATTGTCGCACCAGGCAAAGGAATCCTAGCTGTTGATGAAAACAATGGTGAGAACAGAAATATTATCGTCTTTAAAATTTATATTATCCCCCAAAATTATTTATCATCGAATTCATATAATCACTCAATTGTCTTTAGCACACTTTGACAGCAATATTTCTTCATTCAATCATTCCTTAATGGTCACTTAATGCAGCCAATAAAACGCACAAATAAAAATACTTTTATGAATAACACAATATCAAATCGTGTTTTACTCACCGGCAAAATAATTGCGTATACAAACGAATTCAGGAAAAACCTCAATCAAACGAGGATAATTAATAAAAGTAAATTCCAAAAGCAATCGAATCTATTTTTGTTAGGTTTTAATTAAATAAATATAGATTGAGGCCTTGATTTTTTGTAAGGTAATTCTAACGTTGTAGTACCTACTTATAGCTAATTCTCTTTGCAAGCGACACGAAATTAATCTCGTATTAAATACTTTTGATACAACAATGTATGAAAAATCTTTTTGTGATATTTTATACAATATATTTATGTATATAATATAATGTATAACTATTAAAGGTATAGAGGAAAATTATACATTTTAATTAATAAATCGTATAAGACTTTCCTCACATAAAAAAATAATTATCAAGTGTCGTAGTTCGTTATCATTAGAACGAATTAGTGTTTTATAATCTTTAATCTTGTTATTTTCTATATTATGTAATATTTTTGAATGTCAACGCACTTTAAAACCAATATTTTAGATATATGTACTAACTATTTTTGCGATATTTGTTTTAAGCTAAATCGAAACGCGAGTTTACAGATGCAATATCTGTTACTGAATAGTTTTTCATATCGCTACAAAGGAACAAACAAACACTACAGCTTTACAATATATTATATATCTATAAAGCCTATTACGTATATTTAATTCATATACTCTGTAGGTATACTTTAAATTTATTTCGTGTAATCCTCTAATACATTAATAGATCTATTAAAACATAGACAAACGTATTTTAGACACACACACATTTATATATGTGTATATAAAAATTTTGTAAAGCCTGCTATAAAGTTTTATTGGCTAAATATTATATATATTTTCACGAACTATTTTAGCTATTAGAAATTATCTTTTAGGATTTATGTAATCGTTATAAAGATTTATTATCAAATGAATTACATGTGTTTGAACAATGAACTAGAATGTAAATTGGTGTGTAATTTATACCGTAGTCTTTGTAGAAGCGATTTCAAAGACTATAAGTTAATCTGACGATAAGGTAATGTCAGGAATAAAAATATGTTTACAAAAACAAGACGATGGTTCAAACAACGTGGTCTGAAACTTCATTCGTCACAAGCTATTTAGAAATCTATTGTTATTACAATAGGGATTAAAATAATAATTATATTTATAATTTTCTGTATGAAAAAACCACATTTAGTCATAATATATCTAGGTACATAAGTTAAGAAAGGATTTATTACGTGAACCAGATTTAGTACAACATTGTTTATATGATTTATAACTTTTTGTTTCAGAGGGAATTGGCAAGTTGCTTGCTGGAGTGGAATTGGAAAACACAGAGGAAAATAGACGTCGGTACAGACAAATGTTATTCACGACCGACGATGTGAGTAAACATTGAATTCTGACACAATCACGTGTGACTATACTTAGATTATAAAGTATAAGAGTTCAAAGGAAAATCACCTGCACAAAAAACCGCCAGTTTCTTATGATTTAAATGGTATTGAATAAAAAAACACGCACCAGCCGCCAGGTCCTCTGAGATACGAACTTCGTAGGAGATATTAAGTTACTTTGTAAATAACGTCGTTTACCGAAGAGATTTTTCCTCGCTATAGTCTTAGAGATCAGGGATCGCTTCAAAGATCAAAGTGACGAAGTATTTATCCAGAGGTGATATTCAAACATGATCGTACTTCACCTAACTTTGAATAAAATAGAGAAATGTTAGGACAAAAATATTTATTATATGGACTGTAATAGAGTAATTTACCTGAGGCTATATAAAGACACGTAGGGACTATTACACGGAGAATTAGACAAAGCCTCTCAACCATATCAATACTGATTATTATAATTAGATTCTAACGTGAAATGAGAAAAATAACTGATAACTTCACTTTGAATATATTCATCATTTTCGTAATAATATTTATTAAATTCTACATATGAAAATAAAGCTCAACATTCGTAATAAAATATTTATTCATATTAAATAGGTCTTAGAAAAAAAAAAAACCTGATTCATGTGTACTCCTGCCCAAAAAATCATTATTTATATGTGAAGTCAAAAAGTTTTTTTAAGCTTAATAATATAGTTAACACATCAGAATAAATGCCTTTTTGACATAAATATAAAGTTTTTACAAGAATTGTAGTTCTAATTTTTTTATAGTACATAGTAAAAATAAAAATATACGTTTTAACAATGTAATTTCGATAGTGAGTCGCGTTGACACTTTATGAAAAATTAAACACTTTTTTCGCTTTGCAATTTTATTAGACTTTTTATAATTTAAATAATAATCATGATTTACGAATATTGACATTTGACAATTTTTTTATTTAAAATTTGTATCGAAAACTTCCCACACATACAATTTGCATACCTTTATGAGAAGATAACGAATGCAAATTAGATTGGCAGAAAAATGACTTAATATTTAAATTAGTAGTGATGTATATATTAATATATATGTAATTGTTTTAATATACAAAATTCATTTATTTACACATTCACTTCTTAGTGATTTAGTTTCATTGCAATTTTTATTATATTTTTCATATGTATTGAGTAAAATCAAGGGAAATTATATAAACTCTATGCAGCTTTAAATATTCAACTCCAGTGAAAGTTCCGACAAAATCCGTTGAGCTGTAAAGAAGATCACGTTAAGAGTTAAAGAGAGATACACAAATAGTTTTTATTCTTATTCAGTTATTTATGTAATTTTTATTTGTATTGTACGTGTATTTTGAATTGGGAAATATCTGTTTTGAAATAGACAAGTTGTTTAATATAAGGACATAACCATAAATATATAAAAGAGTATGTTTTAGTTACACTATTTATAACTCAAGAACCGCTGTAGGGATATGTTTGGAAATTGGTGGGGATATGGCTTAGAACCAGGTTATGGACATAGGATATTGAATTCTGTTTGATCGTACAAAAAAAAATCGAATATCTGGTTATTAATGGCCACTAAGGCGGAATAGAGTTCTCCCAGTCAGCCATACATACATATATTACTTATTATAAAATTGTACATATATGACTCTGACGTGTTTAGCTAAAATAAGTTAAGGATAAATTAATATTAAGTCTAGTTTGAACGTAATATTTTATATTTATCACAATCTTTTGTTACTCATGCACTCAAATCACATGAATTATCCTTGTTCTAAATTTTTAATACCACATGAATCATTATTAACTTTTATTTCGTCACTTTAATTGATTATTATTTTCAATTTGATGCGTCAGAAACTGTGTAATATTTCTTATTTATAGTGCCTAGACGTGGAGTTCATTTACTTAAATGTCGAGGTTTTTGAAAGTGATGTAGACAGAAATGTGTTCGCTAGTAAACAATAAGAAAACACTATAGGAAAGTAAACGAAAACGGATTATTGAATCTAGTCATTATAAAAGTCATGAAGATATTTTTTAAACTAATTAATATATGTTTGTCGTAGTAAAATGAGACATATAATGTCATTGACGAGTTCAGGTCTATGTCAACGTTGATGGCAGTTCAAAAAGGATTTTTTCGTCATAATTACAAAAAAAAACCTAAAAAAGGGTTGCTCACTATCCTTAAAGCACCGTCTAATTCTTTAATAGCTCGAGTAACGTCTATTGTCTTACCAACGGAATTGGTAACGTTGAAACTGTCAGTGTGAAGTAGACAGAAATTACGATTTCGGACTAAAGGTACCGAAGCAATAGAAAAAAATTGTAATGAATGTTTTGTGAATGTTTTCTTTTAAAATATTTAAGTTATTACAAAATGAGTAATAATCAATTTGTTACACAAATCTGGCGATGAGTACCAGTGGCAATTTTCTAAGAAAAATAGAAAGCTTACTCTTCAGTCTTTGTGTTTATATGACACGAAAATAAAAGTTACGGAATCGTCTTAACACTTTATCGGATTGCGACTGGTTTTATTTTATTATTAAGGAAAACGGCGACAAAAAGATAAGAATATTACAAGATATTCAAAAATATTTATAACACTTTGAAAGTTTAATGTTGTAATCGGGTCGAAATATAAGTATAAAAATCATTTAAAGAAAAACCCAAAAGAGTCCTAATATAAAAAGCTAAGTTATATAAGAAAAAACTTTTCAAGTAATACGTTTACTAATTGGTTTATAAAGTGAATGAAAATATGTACTTATAAAAATAATTTCACTTCGATAATCTTTAAGTTTAATAGAATAAGATTGTGTTATACGTCTATAAAGAAGCCTCTCCAATGTCTATACATTAAATACAATATAATATTTAAATCATTTAAAAACCTTTTATATATGAACAAGAGAATGATAACCAAAAATTTTTAACGTGTATAAAATATGAGTAATTTTGTATGAAACAATGCTTTGACGTAAAAATAATAATTTCATTATTCCCCGAATCATATTAAATTCGTATAATTTTATTCATAAAGTCATTCAACAAAATAAAATATGTACATAACTCAAATTACGGGTGCTTCCCTCTTTGTTGACCGAAGTTATAATTTTTGCGTTAATTAGTAAAAGAACCACACTTACATCATTTTCAAATTTAATAAAGACACAAATATTCACTGTTTCATATAAATTATTGGATTTATTTATATATATAATGTTGCAGAATCTATCAAATAACATCTCAGCTGTAATTCTATTCGAAGAGACTTTATACCAAAAGACGGATGACGGCGTCTTATTTATGGATTTATTGAGGAAGAAAAACATTATACCCGGCGTCAAAGTAGATAAAGATGTTGTTCCATTGTATCTAACAGAAGAATACACAACTCAGGGTATGTTTTTGGCAGATATAATACATTTTATTCTTGACGTGTTACGGTTCTGCTTTTTCCTGTATCTTATTAATCATATCACGTTTTATCAAATTATACTTATTTTACTAAAAGTATTGAAGTACCTAATCGTATCATGCTTAGTCTGTGGCGACAAGTTGAGATATATGTATAAACAATTTTGGCGATATAAGTCGTTAAATAAGTCGTCCCCTTGTTACTTTGCAGAATTACTTTTGAATTTTCTATATGAATATTTCTTAATTTTTTGTCAGTAGTACGAAAAATTAATATACTTTATGACCGACCACGAAAAAAATTTGTTATTTTTGTTTATCAGTCAATAATTCTTTTCAGGTCTGGACAACTTGGCCGAGCGGTGCGCGGCTTACAAGAAGTTGGGATGTAGATTTGCAAAGTGGAGATGCCCATTAAAAATTGGTGAACATACACCATCTGTGCAGGCCATTGAGGATACAGCGCATGTTCTTGCAAGATATGCATCGATATGCCAGAGTGAAGGCCTAGTGCCTATAGTGGAACCAGACGTACTATTAGACGGTAATATAACCACGTTTATTAAGCCACTCCATTTCATATTCAATTAAAAAAAGTAAAACGTTTTTGAAGCGTAAATTTCATTAAATACGAGCGATAAACTTTGAGCGATATTTCACTCAAAGCACTTTTTTTTTCTACCTTTTTGTTGTTATTAAAAGCAAACTTCGTTCTTTTATTTCCATTCACGAGGTGTTCTTAACATTTTTTTGATGAATATTTATCAAATTTTCCTTATAAACGTTTCTGAAACGGTACCCGAAATTTAATTTATAACTTTTTTATAATAATAAAAATATTGTTTCGAAATTGCTTTATCGAAAATGATCACTTTACGTTAGGTGTAATAGTTAAATATAACCAATGTTTTGAACCAAATTTTGTGATTTTCAGGAGATCACGACATCGTAAGAAGCCAGAAGGTGACTGAAGTGGTGTTGGCATCTGTCTATAAAGCGCTGAATGATCATCACGTCTTCCTAGAAGGGACTCTGCTCAAACCAAATATGGTAAACAATTTATACTGATTGAATTTTAAACACAAATAAAGTTTTTTTTTATAAACTTTATTACAGGCTTAACCATTTTGAAAATGAAGTAACATTTAGTTATTACATAATATTTTGACAGGTGACTCCGGGTCAACAATGTGTAAAAAGAAACACACCAGAAGAAATTGCTTCAGCCACTGTCACGGCATTGCTGAGAACTGTCCCAGCAGCGGTACCCGGTATGAAATATACCAATACTTTACATACAAAGTTACTTATATCAAAGCATTAATTAATACGTATAAATCAATAAGAAAAATAGTACTAACTTCCAATGTAAATGTTAAAATACAAAGACACAATTCCAACTAATATAATTCTATCATTTAACAAAGGTATCACATTCCTCTCCGGTGGTCTATCTGAGGAAGAAGCTACTTTAAATCTGAATGCGATCAGTCAGATACCAAAAACACCTTGGAGATTAACATTCAGCTACGGCAGAGCATTGCAGGCGTCTGTATGGAAAAGCTGGGCGGGGAAAGATGAAAATATTGGAAAGGCCCAGAAGGAATTATTGCAAAGGGCTCAGGTATGTCAATATAAAAAATACAACAAAATATGTACCATCCACTTGATTGATGATTAACATCGATAATAGGAGTTCTCCAAAGATAAGGGTCTTACCTCATGGTACAATTAAAAATGAAATTAAAAATTTAACTGTTAAGGGCTGTCACAACAGATCCTAATAGGAAAGAATGGTATGGGAAATATTAGAAGAAAGACAAATTAAACTTAACACATTTATTTCGCACGCTACCTCCATGTATTTATAGACTCATTTAATATATTTGCAATTCTATTATATTTTTATTATCATAATATTATTTAAATTATTTTCATTTCTATTTTTTTGTCAGGCGAACGGTCTTGCTTCTTTGGGAAAATACGTAACGGCGTGCATTAGCAGTGCCGGTGACATGTCAAACTACAGGGAAAACCACGTATACTAGAATTTTGTAACTACATATTATGGTATCCACGTTTTTTAATATACATTAATAAAGAGTTTTTAAAAGTAATATGGTTATTTTTTATTTATAAAGATAGCGCCAAATTTTTTTTTATAATAATAAAAACGATCCTTTTTTTTTAATAAAACACCTGATGATTTCTTTCACTTTCTGTTATTTGATTTAACTTTTGTTTCAAAAAAGTGTTAATTGGTTGAAATTTTATTATTACTTATGCCTTAAATATTATATATTTTTTATTGTTAAGAAGACAAAGGTTAAATTTTTTTTCTTTCAAACGACTCATTTCTTTTCAAGATCATGAATTTAGTTACTGTTTATTATATGTATTTTTAATTTATTGAAAGACAAACTTAGTCTTTAGGTTTGATAGTATATTTGTGGAGTCTCTTTATACAGTCATTTAATATGAGAACAGAAAATTAATATCAACTAAGTCTAATATATCTATGTTTGACTTTGTTGACCCCGCATATCTATTTCGTTTGAGAAAATCCGCCATCGTTTATAAGATATTTAAATGACACTTATTTCTGCAGTGACAAAGATGGTTGGAAAGTATTCATTTAGGTTTTTCATTATTATCATACTTTATCTTATATACACAATTCTCGTGTCCCGGTGTTAGACAGAGAACTCCTCCGAAACGGCTTGACCGATTTTTATGAAATTTTGTGAGCATATTGAGTAAGTCTGAGAATCGGCCAACATCAATTTTTCATACCTCTCGTCATAAGGGTTGTTCTCCCTTATTGTTTTTTTATTTTCGTTTGAAATTATTTGTTTCTATTTTTTTATAATGTAATTTTTGTAATTTTTTACTTTTTTATTACCAACCCCTATTTTTTATATGGCAAAACAACGTTTGCCGGGTCAGCTAGTACCTACATAAAGCTCTACTTTCATGTCGGTTTATTATAAATTTTGAGTAATAAATGAAATGCTGAAGTAGCGGTCTTCAAATTATTTTCTAAATTATTTGAAAATATTTTATATTATATTAAATATTTAGCAAATGAATAAGAAATTCGAACAGGAAAATAGTCGTTGGTATAAATAGTCGTAACATACAAAAAGCCTTCAGTACTAGTTTAGTTGTTATTCAAAAATATCGTTATTAATATGTCTCCACTGACATACATCTGTTTGGCGTTTTGTTTAGTGATTATAAATACAGAATGCTCTATAATAAAACATAGAGTACTAGCAATGGATGGAGGAGAATCACCTGTTTTTGATACAGTTCGCGATGCTTCGAACCAAAGAAAGGAATTTGTGAAGCCCACTGGAAAACCTCCGTCGTTTGAGAACAGAGTCATCGTCACCGTCGGTGGAAATTGTCCTAAAGGCACAATACGCAGAGGGCCGTTTTGCGTGTAAAATAAAATGCATTCGCCTACTTGATCTGTCTTCAGTAACATTCAAATAACTTACTGTTTAATTATTCCAAACTACGTATGTAGTTCGTGCTATAAAATAAACAATAATATTTAAAACAAATAATGGTTTGATTTCGTCACTGCCCGATCCTCTACAAACGATTAGAGTGTGCGAATTTTAAATGAAAGTTTAAATCGAAACGAATCGACTTGTTTAGATTTTATGGTACCTATTCATCGATATATTTTTAAAGACTATTAAGTATCCAATGAGTACCATAGATTGTTATAATTAAATTTGTTGACCCAAATATAAATATTTTATTGAATGTAAAACAAAAACGGGAATAGAAGAAATGCGTATTCATAAAAATAAAAAAATAATGTTAGAAATAAACCCAAGTGTTTTTTAATCCTCCTACAACGTACATATTTGTGTGTTATAGCAACTACAACAAAACAAATTGTATTTGGAAATAGAATTGTACTAATTGTTTTGGACAATAAAATTTATTCGAGGAACCTGATAGTGTAAATGTATGTGCTAGATATTTCACTAATATTTGATATATACTAAAAAGAATTACTTTATATCATATTATATGTATATTATAAATATTATTATTTACATCAGAAGCTTTAGGCTTGCAAAACATTGGGTCTTTCCCAAGCAGGTTTTATTAAGACCTTGGCTTTAAATCAATGACACCAGCTATTACTATAATCGAGTTTCACAGCCTCACCACAGAAACAAATTCATAATCATAAATATAATAAACGATAAGTATAAAATGAAATAATTGTACATGTAAATAATACGCGAAGGAAAAATTGTTTTTACCGTTAGTATTCCTATTCGTATTCGATGATATACAACGTTATGTTAATCAAGTGCGTATATAATGAAATTACTTAAATGTACTTATTGATATTGATGATTGACTTATGTAAAGTAAACGTTCTAGATAATATTACTCTAAAAGTTTAGGATAAAAAAAATGATTTGTATTCAAATAAAAGTACCACTGATTGATTATTAGATTATTATCATTTAAATTGCTATTGGAATATCCAAGCGAGCGAAACCTTACATTTTTCTTTGGAGAAACCAAAATTGTCAGTATTTAATTATATTCAAAAATATCGTAATATAAGCTTAAGGATAAAATATGCTCTGGTATCATTATGTAACGAATGTCCATAATTGTTGACCATAGTAAAATAAATATATTTATTTTTAACACATAAATTGTTTTAATAATTATGTAAATAACTTGGTTTCGTAAATAACAATATCTATTGATATTTTCTGGTATTTACGCTAAATTCATTTCCTGGAATTCATATAAACAAATATTTATAATAACAACATGCATTTTTAAAAGACTTACTGCTGTTACATTTCAACAAATAAATATGTCATGTTTGCTAGCTGTTATATTTTTTCTCTTATGTTTGCCATTCGCAATATTATTGCTTTTTTAATAAAAATTATTAAAATAAAAAGATTACTCTATTTACCAAAAATGACTATTCAGTTTTTTTAATCATATTTTAAAAATACATACGAATTACATTTTTTGTCGGTATCGTAAATTAATATTTAAGATAGAAAAGGGGATTGTTAGATAAATGGATGGTAAGTAAATAAGATGAATCAATGTATGAATGGATGAATGTATGGATGAAAAAATAAGCAATAGAGAAACAAATGTATTTAGAGGGATGGATGGTTGAATGAAAGAACGTACTAACTGCTAAATGGTTGTATAATTTGATGGATGGTAGTTTCCAGGGAAGTATAATTTTATTGATAAAGCAGGGATAAATAAAAATATGAATATATAGTTCGATAAATGGATAGATGGGTAAATAGTCAGATGGATATTTATATGGTTGGATTCGCGAATGTATTTATAAATAAAGCTACAAAAAAAGTTTGTGGATATCCTGATGACTGATAACATGGATAATCACTGTATTTATATTATAAAACAATATCTAATTTAGATATTTCAAACATTTATAGTCAGTGGTGGCCTAGTGGTTAAAGGGTCCGCCTCTCGTTGCCGTGGGCGCGGGTTCAAACCTGGCAAGTACCAATGTGATTTTTCGGAATCATATGTACTTTCTGAGAGTATTTAGACACCACTGACATACGGTGAAGGAAAACATCGTGAGGAAACCTGGACTTATAGTTTCAAAAAATTATAAGTTTGAAATCACCAACCCGTCTTGAGCAAGCGTGGTGATTAATGCTCAAAACCTTCTCCATGTGAGAAGAGGCTATGCTCAGCAGTGGGCGTTGATAGGCTGATGACAAACATTTATATAAATATTAGTTATCCCAAATAAATGTTTAATTTAAAAAAATGTTTCGTTCACACCATTGTTATTTATAATTTATTATTTTGTCCGACTTAAGTATTATGTAACATTATGGATGATACCTTGAGGGTATTTTACTACGGGAGTTTTACATGACGTAACATAAGATGCTTAAGGAAACTGGTCCATACATGTAAAACTATATATAGAAAGAACGAAACGGACGAGACATTGTAACTTTACAGGCCAAACGGTACAGTCGCATCATAGCCAAAGATGTCTCAAGTTACATACTTCTTTTTGGCGCTGACCGTACTTGTATTGACTGTAGAATGTTCTGTGATAAGAGTAAATAAAGTACCTCTTACGGACGGAGTTGTTATGAAAGTGGTTGTAAATGAAGATCCGAATAACAAAGGCAATTCTGTAGCAACAATCAAGATAGCAATGGAAAAGGATGATGGACACAATAAGCTTGTAAAGCCAACAGGAGCTGTGCCTTCCATAGAAGATAGACTACTAATAAGAAGCCCTAACTGTGCAGCAGGTCAAGTGAGAGTAGGACCTGTTTGTGTTTAAGCAACACACGAAATATTATGTGCTCGAGTGAGGATTACATCGTTATTACAAGGGATAGTAAAATTATAATTGTTCTAAGCCTTAGTGCTTATTGAAAAAAATGTTATTTAATTTATGAAATAAATTTATTTATGTATATATATTTACACTTGATTTTTTTTAACCTCCTACGAAAATTGTAAGGAAGAATAAATTTTTACTTTGGTACTGTTACAATTTGTGTTAGGAGCTCTGTAAGATAACGTTTTTATATAGTACGCATAAAAAATAATTTGAAATAAAAAACAAAACTTATAATATTATGCTTTATACAAACAAATACATATAACAAGCTTAGGATCGGTCAATGTCTGTAATCAACTCAGAAATAATTTCTACTCAGTTTTGAAAACTTTGAACATTAAATACATCTTCAATACATAAAAAAAATTAAAACCATACAACTTGTTAATATAAATAAAAAGATAAAAACAATTATCATTTATAAGCTAGTTTATCTAGGACATATACAATATTCACTGTTACACATAAATATTCAAATGAAAAAATTCTTAATCCTCTTTAACTTTCGAAGCTAAAATATTTGAATAATATATTTGTGGAAGCTGTAGTATTGTTAATGATTTATTGTTTTCCAAAACAATACAACTCACTTGATTGAATGATTCATATCTGAATAAACCGGCTTTAAATAATCCTTACATAAAATATATGGTTGTGGCTTTTGTATTATTTTAATTATCTCCAACGACACTCGCTCAACATATTTCGTATTTCTTTCAAATAATATATAAAATTCTAGAAAGAAGTATTATAATTTCAAATAAGATGAGGTGCTCACGTACGTTGAAGATCACTCAATTATTTGGCGTCGAGAGCTCTAGCGAAATTTAAAGATGCATTCCGTAAAGTCGAATAAAACCAAGCAGTCTTTTGAGTTTTAATAACTTCTTAAGCTATAATTATTTATAAGAAAATAATAGCATTCACCGTCCATTCATATATTTTTAATATCAATATATATTTTAAAATGGTTGTTTAGTAATGGCTAGTGTTAGCGTTTGTGTTTATTTGGCGTGTTGCATGTTTTACTTCGTAGTCAGCAAAAATTCCCTTAACGGAATTACAATATCAGATTTGTTACATCTACAAATGACATTGTAATTAAAGACGTATTATTTTGGAAACAGATAAAACATTATCATGGAGTTTTATTCAAGTTAAAAAACATTAAAAGTAACATTCTGGGCGTTACCTTTAATGAAACATATGTACTTACGTATTATTTAGGGACTAGGTGAAGGAACAGTCGTCACATAATTTTATTATACTAAATATTTACACCTATTTATAAAATAGTATATATAAAGTTCTTATAACAATAAAAGAGCTATGATGCATATATTTAGCATATGAGTGTGTCTACGGGGAAGTTCTATTAAAATATAATGTAAATAAGGATGACTTAATACAGAAGATCTAGTTTGGTTTTTTTATATTGTGTATGGGAATAAGGATGGATTTTACCTTAGACGTTACTAACTAAATACGCAATATGTAAAGTTGATATGTTTAGTTCATTATCAGAGGACTTGTGAATATAAAATAATCACTCTCCGAATGTCACACCTACCTGATTTATAATCAGTTTTATACAACACTGTATTGACATATTTTATATTTGTATATCTTATTTTTTTGTTTTATAATATTTTACTCTAGTCCTCATTGATAATGTAATTGACGATATGAGAGAAAGATGTTACACTTTTCTTATAACATTGACACATTCTTACGCAAACATCTTACTTATATTTTGAGATAAATCTCCAATGTGGATTTTGTATTTCTTAGTTACTTAGAAATATTTTAATTTTTCAACTTAAAAGAAAAAGAACAACAGAAAAGAGGATGATCGTGTGAATAACCAGAATATTATGTTGTTTATTGAAATTAATCTGAAATATTTACCTTATTTTTAATAAACATTAAAACCATGTGTTGTTTTACGTCTTCAATAACTGCATGGTGCGTCACTTATGTGCCATGAAAGATAAATAGATGTTACTTACGTTTAAGGAAAACTATTCTACAGATAATGTTTATGAATTACAACTATATATGGTTCATTAGAGTAGCTTCAGGCACATTAAGCCTTGAACCTTCGAACTGTGTAGTCGAGATATTGAAGATGTCTGCTGTGGTATACTTCTCTTTGGCGCTATGCATGATGGTGCTATATACAAGTGGTTCTGTGATAAAGATGCAAGACTTGTCTCTCTCGGACGGAGTGGTTTTGAAACTAGTCATCAAAGAGGACCCTGAGCATAAAGGAAAGGCAGTTGCTTCCATCAAAATTGACTTGGATCATCAGAAACCCAAGAGTGTGCGAAGTCTATTTAATAATTTAATCCCAACTGGGGCTATACCTAAATTTGAAGACAGAATTCTAATAACAAACAACAAATGCCCGTTGGGTCAAGTAAGGAGAGGACCAGTCTGCGTTTAATTTTAATTTCTTTAGATCAGAAATTGTGTTGGATAATGAAAACGGATGCTGCTATATTTATGAAGTTTAAGTATTTAAGCATAATTTGGTGTAACTTTAGATACACTGCCCTCAATTATTTATTTGTCAAAATTAATATTTTCTCTAAATTTGTAAGTTAATTTATTTTATACGATAAATCTTGAAATTGTAATTAAGTAATTTACTATTGGTTTGTTGAAATTAGGTGTTTTGTGATGAATGTAAATAGGTATGTGTTATGAGTTATTTATTTTATTGTATAAATGTAAGTTTAATCTGAATAAATTGTTAAATATAAATCCTGACTACAGTTTTTCATTTAAATATGTTCTCAACATAATACACAGACTCACCATACTGTGGAAATTAGGGCATTGTAAAAAATACTGTAAAAAGCAGTGTCCCAATTCAGTATATTAGTAACTTGTGAAAGTTGACGGTAACTCTTCGTAGATTAAAACGGATTGCCAGCTAAATATAGTTATTGTTACATTAAAGTAACTGACTGATACAACAAAGGGAGAATATAATGGAATCCCGAGGATTAATAGAAGAATGTCGAGAAAACAAGATTGAGTCTTTCGCACATTATATTTAAACAAACTAAATGTGGGAAGACGGAATGACAAATAGGTTACAGGAGTCAAAGAAGCTAAGAAATGTAACAAGACCTTAAATGGCACCTCTAGCTGCATTAGATGTAGAAGATTATTTATACTAAGTATATTTAGAAACGGAATTCAATATAACCAATAAGAAATAAATCACTTCAATATTAATTGAAATGAAAGTTTTTCTCATAAGGTACGAAATTTCAAAATCAGCTCGCTAAGAAAAACAACATGCCCATTGAGTCAAAAGAAGTGAGTTTAAGGTCAGCAATTAAATTGGGTCAGAGAAGTTCTAAAATAAAATTATCGACTCTCAAGTTTGTCTAACAGAATTCAAAGAAACTTTAAGAACTGCTGCAGTTTCTATGAAAAGAAAGCTGTTGGGAAGTTATAAATCACGGACTTGTATCCAGGAGTAGTCATCGCTATTGCTGTACTCGTATAATACGGTACAATACAGTAGTAGCGATACTAAATGTCGATTAATTTTTTGCGGAGTTCTCATAAAAAAGAAAAAAATAATTAAAAGCAATTTATAAGTACATATATCCATACAAATTCAATTAAAAAAGTTCCATTCCGTCAGTCGACAGTCGATATACAAATGTAAAAATGATTTTATAATTCATTGCCTTTAAAATAACCATTAATTCAAATGAAACTAATATTTCTTTCGAACCGTTTTAATGATTTTGTAATTTCTACCTTATTGCACTGGTGGTTGATTGATTTCGTCGTAGCAAAAACTGCGATTTTTATTTCATATTCAGATGCAATACAGACTTTATAATTATGTTAGAAATATATTATTTCCCTACAGTAACGCGCACTGAGTTTGCTGACTACTTTCCTACTTTTCATATTTAGATAGCAATTTAAAACTTTATTTTATCCAAGGACTGAAAACATATATCTTTATTTACTTTTTATTTACATTTAAAGCTAAGTACTTGCTAAAAGGAGCTAATTTAATTATTAGCATTTTCGACTGAAAAACTACGAAATGATTTGTTATAAAGAGAAGTTTTTCAATCCTCTTCTAAAGGATGTAAATATTTAACAAATAAATTTTGTTTGTACATTAAAGTTGCTTTATTATTTGAAGCTTCGTCCATACACAGAATATATTTTCCTACTTTCTTTTCTTCGAGTAGTTCCCAACGTCTACTGTATTGAAAAAATCCCATTCCCATTTTTGATTTCCTTTCGCTACAAATAATTTTCTTTCAATTCAATTTTCCTTCCAAGCAGATTGTCTGAGGTGATTGCTTTTATTTAGCGACAGAGTTCCTTTTGACTTGTGTTGTGTGGTTCAAAACACGAGATACAAATTAATCTGAGTAATACTTTAAAAGTATTATGGTTCTAAAGTTATTTGAACGACTCCATTTAGATCTTCTGCATTAATTTTTTGATAGAAAGAAAAAGATTAATCAATTTTTAATCCCAATAGTCTAAGTTCGTTTAATAACTGATAAGTTATCTTGTATCCCATTCCTTATACCACACAATGTCAGATTTTTATGTTTAGTTTGGTAATCGAAGCACGATTTTACGCGAGTTTGAAAGAACCCAGACGTGACTCTTTGGCGTGCTGATTATAGCTCGGAGAAATTTACCCTGTTACCACGATCGGATTAGTTGTAACGATTTGTTACCTTTCATATTATAAATGTTTCATATTAATTATATATTTTGATACGACATACTATTTATTTTGTAATAGTGTTTAAAAGAAAAACCTTTATACTGATCTATTGTTTGTTGTTATATTATAGTTAATAAGTCTAGTTGCTCTCAGCAGGACGGTAAGACGTCTTGAAGTATTTAATAAGCATAGCTTGAAATATACCAATATTATTGTTATATAAAATATTTATTATTTTCCATAAACTTAATGTGTTACAAGTAAATTATTAAAACATATTTTTTATCAACAAATTGTAAGTGTTTTATAAAGAGTATAGTGTAGTCTAATACAATTGATTACCAAATAATAAAAAAAATATCTCAAATAGAATTTGTTTTGTGTAAAGTTTTGGTAGGGGTCATATATAACTAGGGAATAAATAGCGGCTATAATCAAATTTGCAGATTTTAACTTCAAAGTTTCTAACATTGTCAAGGGAGTAAGCAAACAAAGCCTTGTTTTGTGTAACTGTAATTTTGGCGCTGTTCAAAACGTAAACGAATTCAAAATTTACAAGCAATTCTATACTTTAATGCATGGTTATAAACATTAAAATTGTTTGCAGTGTATAAATTCCAGTTTTATTCGTACTATCAGCAAACAACCTTGCGAGTGCTGTCAACGGGAACAAACAAAGCTTGATTGGTTACCAACTCATTTGGATGATATATTTAGTATTGGTAAATATTATTTTAAAAGGTGCTCAAATCTGCTTTTCCGTATTTTTACGAAAAAGAGACTACGAAAATTTTCTTTGAGAGTATTTTCTTCTTCTTTCAGTACTCGTGGCTGATTAAAGATTATTTACAAAGATAAAACTGATTCAAGATATTTAAAAAGTTATTTTCGGGAGCATTTTTGTTTGTATCGAGTGATAAAAAAAAATATCGTCCTTCTTTCGTCCTTGACTGTAGTATCTATTGGTTATCTATATTATATTTATTTAAAAGCAATGAGAATTGAAGTAATTGCGAGTATAATTATAAAAAACCTGAAGTAGTCGTAAAGAAAAATTGCCAAAAGATGTCGAGGAAAGTAATATTTTGTGTCAGTTTCGTAGCTTAAAACTTTGACATAAAAAGTAAGTTTTTCAAAGCCTTATGTAAATTTTAAAAAATAATTCGGGATTGCTCTAGAAAATGTAGTAAAAGAATATTGTTTTAGTGACATTAATTAGGTTACCTAAATGATTTGTATATTACGAAAACATGAAACTAACTTCGTCTATTTACAAGGATTTCCGTGGATGTTTGGAGTTTTATATTGTAAATATATAATAAACTTGAACTATAAAGACGAGAAACGCTTGATAGTTATAAATATTTGATACATCAGTCCACAAACACATGGTCGTTCGCATAGAAGGCATGTTATTTAATTGAACGCCTCAATATTAATCACGAGCAATGTCGTCTTTTACAGGTCAAGCTGAGACTGGCTGCAATTAATGTTCCGTGTTCGTTATGATTTCCTTAAATTTATTTAGCCAACCTTAAATTTATCTTATAGAAAATAAGTTTATAATACTCTCAGTATTATTTCAACAATATATATATTTAAAAACAGTCTCAATGAGATCTTTTAATAGATATGTAATCGATTTAATTATCTTTTTGATTTTTTCTCGTATACTCGTAAAATAATTATTTAAGTGATGATTAACTAGCAATCTTATCACGACGCCGGCTTCATATGTTTTTTTATCTTAAATTTAATAATCCACCAGATTGAACGTCTTTTTTAATTTATAACTTAAACCAATAGTTTATTTTATATAACGTTTTTATCAAATAACAACAATTTACAATAATTTTAGATTAATCGACGTTATCACTTTCAATTCGATCTCAATCTTTACTTGATTTTTTAATCGCTTCCTACTTAAATAAACCCGTTCCTTTTAATAAAATGGAAATTTAGTATAGTAAATGTATATTTTTTGTGTACATTACAAGATTCTACTTAATATTCGGGAATAAAAGCTCAGATTTTAAACATCTTGCATAAACAGATATCATCAAGTATAAAATAGTTTTGTAGAACCATTTTTTTTGTAATATACTGAATACATACACACCATCATAGATTTGTAGTATATAAAAACTGTTGATATCGTTTTCATTAATTTATTCAAGAAAGTTCAAGACTATTAAAGTTGAAAACGCAAATAACGACAACGTTATAGAAAATTTTCAAGTTTTCAATATAAATCAATAATCGGAACATTGGCGGCTTTCAAGGCTTTCAACAGCAAAGACTCGCGAGAAAAAAAAACTGTCGCAATGTAAGGTCATACTGTACTATCGTAAAAATAGTTTAAAATGTATAACTTATATATTTCTTTTGCAGATTTTGCAGAACAGTGTGAACACAAGACACTAATATGTGATATAGGTGAAAGATTTTATGTAAACAATACAACACTCAGACTCTGGGGATGCCCTAAAAAAGTTTAATAGGTTTTTCAACCAGGCCATTAATCTGGGACAGACATTTATATATTCTCTTAAGAGAATATGAAAAAAAATCTTCCAAAGAATTCTATATTTTTTCTTAGGAATCTGCGAATCTAGTATTACAGACACTTAACTTTTTATTTTGTCCATTCAACATTTTACTAACTAAACTAAAAGACAACGATACATATCTTTATTTCTAGAACTTTCCGTAGTAGTCGAACCATTAAAGAATTCACGAGGTCAAAATAATTGTACCTAAGTGAATGTATTCTGATTTGAAAAGTTTTTAAACTTTTAACACGTATAAAATGCACTCATGCATAAATATTGTAAAAAGTATCAAATTACCAAAAATTTGGTTAAATAAAAAGATTTTCTTAGCGGGTCTAAGTGGACGGAAAAAACTTCAAGTAATGTCAATGTGTATATTTTTTGAATAAAAACGTGTAGTGGCTTAAATACGGGCAGAAGCAGGTTTTTTCTATTTTTCAATTTCATGCCTTGAAAATTTTAAAAAACGCAGATGTTTTTCCACAACGGCTTACACTAAAGAATCTTATGATTATATTTAAAAAAAATTGTTTTGGTTTGAAATAATAGATGTTATGTTTCTTAAATAGCACACACGCAAGCATTTACCCATAAAGTCACACACACTTACATACATATTCACCCATCTCATTGTAAATGGTAATCTGTATCTAATAAGCACTTATAAACTCGGCAATCGGGAGTTCAGACCCTTCAAATATTATGAAGGGTCATCAAAAGCTTATATGCTTATGTCGAGTGTAGACAATACATGAATAAAGTGCATTACAATATTACAGTTATAACCGAAAATGGAAATTAATATTATGTATTTGGAAAAACTAACAATAACCCAAATCATTTGAAGTCAATTCGTAGTCTCCAGAATAAGCTTCATTTAGTAGTACAATATCAATAACTTTTGTAACATTTTCATTACGCATAGTTTTTCTTTATACAAGTATTTAAAGTAAGGAGAGTAAGTAAGTTATCGTTATGATTAAGACACGTACCATAAGATGCAATGAATGTGAAGTAAACCAATGAATATAAACGAGATATCTTCTTTAAATATCAACTGGTTTCATATATTACTATGGATATTCGTTTCTCAAAATATAATTTAATTTTCATAAAAATTTGTTCTTGAAAAAATTAACATTCACGTATATTTTTTAAGCAAATCATACAATTTGGGCTTTTGACTATTTGTGTATACCAGTTTTATGTTTTCATATGACTGTTTAACAAACATAAATTTTATAAAAAAAATATTCCCAACAGATTCTTGACTTTAAAGAGTATGTATGGACATAACAAGACGAAAAAGTTATAAAGTTAATTGAATTTACAAACACTGTATTTATTCATATAATTATAAGTTTTATAATAATGAGTTTCATATAAGCTGACAGTAAAACAAAACTCGGTAGCAAAATAAACTTCGTTTGTGTTATTAAATAATAAAACAACTAAACATTGCATGCGGCAATCAATAGACACTATTAACTAAATAAAGCATTATGACCTAAAATAGCGATAATTTCGTGATACAGACATAAAATACGTAATAAATCATAAAGTAAATAAGATTTTAAACTACGCCGCATTATATAAGTTCAATGACAGTAAATAATGTTAATCATATTTTTAAATAAAACGACTGTTATTTCCAACAGCCAATGGATGTGATGTGTGTCTGAAAAATTGATAGACGTTTACTTGTACTGAATTTTACTGAACATTTAAATAATAATGTTACAATATATTATTTTGCATAATTCTGATTGATAAAATCATTTATCACAACAAAATCGAAAGACCGCTAATAAAATATGAAAACAATCAAATAAACGTTGGCTAAAACAAACAAAATGGACAGATATTGACTCATTCTACCAACAAAATCGATCGACTAATGAATTTATACGGAATAGTCTAATTACCTATAAATATAGTCCCTGCTTCAGGCGAGCAATCATTTATTATTCAGTCTAAGATATCACCGGTTGTTCCCACCACTGTACACATGGTAGATCCCACAGACAATTCCCTCATTGGCCAACTTGAATTTGAAATTGATCCACGTCAGCGAAAAATTCAACTGAAAGCAGAATATAAAAATTGAACATTTCACCCAATGCTTCTCGCCTTACTACACGCATATCATAATAAAATATTTTCAGAAAGTGAAAAATAATTTTAGAATTGATTTATATGTAATGTGTATCTATTAAATTATTTTGAGGATTTTTTAAAAAAATCTATCAAGGTATCATAACTATATAATTTTGTAAGATATTTTGTTGAGATAATATTGATTGTAATATTGTTTTAGATGATGACAAAATCGGAAAACCGGGGCCTCGTGTCCGACTTGATGCCAAATATCAAGTTGATGCAGATGGCCGGACATTTTCTGTTTAATTATCACTCAGGTGAGATTAGAAACGTAATAGAGCACAAAACATTTGCTAGCTAAAACTTGTATATGAAGAAATTTATACTCAATAAATAAACTACTTTTTTGGTTACACTATTATTACCTTAATCTCATTCAATGAAGTATATTTTAAGCGGTCCTAACCAATAATTCTTTTCTAGATAACTCTGGCATGTCCTCTCTTCTTCGCAAATTTTATGCTAGTATTCACGCCTTTTTGATTGTGATGCACTACTTTTGCATGGCAGCTAATATGGCGAAGTATTCTGAAGAAGTAAACGAACTAACGGCGAATACTATAACTGTTCTATTCTTTTCACATTCAATTATTAAGTTGTTATTCTTTGCGGTAACGTCTAAAAACTTTTACAGGTATTCTTTTTGATTTTCAAACAACACATTATATTAATTAACACGCATCACTGAGCGGTAATTGTTAAGAACAACTGATGCTATATTTTTTAATACCAGCAGATCTCACCCATTTTGTCGGTTGGGGTAGTATGGTTTAAACCTTGCAACCATATTACCCTTAATCCGATAAATAACTCTTTAACGTGGTAACTTTTTTTTTTTTGAATCACTATTGTGCAATAGATGATCCAAAAGCGCATGCGACATAAAAAGGGCAACTTTTCTAATAGAGTCCGTGTTCATAATTAGAATAAATTTTAATAGGAACTAAATTTCGAAAAAGCGTTAAAAATTACTTTCAAGATGCCAAATTGGTAACAATATGGAAATAAGAACAAAGTAAAACAATAGCAGCCAAGCAACAGTGTTGTCAAGGAGAATTCATTTCCATCCAATTTTCGTTTACTCAGCGAACATAAAAGCGGTATAAATAGAGAATTATTTTCTCTGAGTCCCCTTAATTTTCTTTTATCTCTATACTAAAGCACAGGTCCGGGATACTGATTTCTGCTTAATTACAATTCACGAATTAATTAAGTCTTGACAAGCAAATAAACAAATACACTGATAGTGAGATAGATGTTGAAGCGATTTTAAATTAGAAGATTCCAATTAGATTTTGTACTTATTTTGTTTACAAATGAGCCGTTATTAAGATATTTTTCTCATCCGATATAGGTCAATTTTATATTGTGCCCATTAAAATTGTTTATAAATCTGATGAATGAAATAATCATGACTTAAAATATAAATGAATTGTGTCAACTTGCTGACGTAACTGAAATTTTAAGACTGACATATTTCAATTGGATTTAAAAGTTAAAAAAATTTAATAACGTTAAAACAGCATTTCTACAATACTACCAACGTAATATATCATAATCGATTCCAACACAAGCTTGCCAAAATTTTATTCCAAAATTGGAACAAACATTGTAAATTCACCTTATATGTATAATACTGGATAAACAAAAGGTTATATAAAACAGAACAGACTTATTCAACGCCCACGAGATAAGCTCTTCTGACGATTCCTCACTCACTCCTGCCCTGATAAGGGTAACATAAAAAGTTATAAAGAGGGATTTTATATCTGTAATTAAATCGAATAGCTATTTTGGTATTTTTTTTGTCATTTTACAAGCCATAATTTTTTATTTAGGATAGATATTAAGTCACTGTTATCACAGTTTAAATATCAGAATAAGTCCTTTAAATCATATGCAGGAGTAAAAATATTACACAAATAAAATCTTCCCAACTTATAAATTTTGCTGTAAAACAACCAACCAACAAATTTCGCTAATGTTTCGTTCAAACTTATACTTACATATACATTTTACTTCATAACATAGTATACTCTCTTTTGGACGATAAACTTCCAAACCCGACGACCTTAATAGAAAACTTCGATACGCGATCGTAGCGGGGGATAAGATGTAACATTTTATATTTTGAGACATCTTTAGGACCCTGGCAGTGTGGAACCAATCGAACAGCCATCCCTTGTTCACGGAATCCGATGCTAGATACCATCAGCTAGCCCTCACCAAAATGAGACGTCTGCTCTATTTTATTTGCGGAACTTCACTTTTCTCTGTGATTTGTAAGTTTTTAAGAATCAAAAAATTTAAATGAAGATTCATATTATTATAATATTTATCAATTATTCCGTTAAAACCATCATCAGTTCTGATTTAAAGATATATATAACTTGAATGGAAAACAAAGTCGAAGAATTGAATACTTTTAATTAAACAGCGAAACTTATATTTTTTAATCCTTATAATAAACGAAATTCAAAGACCTCTAGAGCTATACCGTTTCATGTTTCATTTAATGCAAAACTTCGCCGGTTTGCGGCAAGTAAGAAGAAACTACAATCATTATAACTTGTTCTTTGTAACTTACTAAGAAGCAGTTTTTTTGTGTAGCAAAGACAAGATAATGATGTATATTTCTTGTCTCATATAATGTGTTTCCACAATATAAGCTTTCAGACGTTGTAATAACTAAGTCTGAAGACTTTACTTTGAGTGTTTTCTATCCTTTTTTTATTTGAAAAGAAACATTATTTAAAACTAATAATAATAACTAAAGGCTGGGTGACTATTACCTTCTTCGGCGAGTCAGTTGTCATGTTAGTGGACAAGGAGACCAATGACACCATAACTGAACCAGCGCCACGATTGCCTCTGAAGGCCTGGTATCCATTTGATGCCATGAGCGGTACCATGTATATCGCAGCCTTTGCTTTTCAGGCAAGTTATTAGTCAAATTTTCTGTCTTTAACTTCTTTCTATTAAGATTATATAAAATTTATAACTTTTTATTTGTTATAGGTGTATTGGCTCTTATTTGCTATATTCATTGCTAATCTTATGGACGTAATGTTCTGCTCGTGGTTGATATTTGCTTGTGAACAGCTACAGCATCTTAAAGCTATAATGAAACCATTGATGGAGCTCAGTGCCTCTTTGGATACATACAGACCCAACACAGCTGAACTGTTTAAAGTTTCTTCAGGTTATTTTTTATTATATCCTCACCAGCTTATATGTCATTTTTAACAAGAAAAAGTTTTTTTTTTGTATTCATAAAAAGAAGCAAACATATAAATTTTAATAAAAAAGAAGACAAAGCTACTCATCATATCATCAGCTATCTGTAAGTGACAGTATCATGAAAAGTGATCGTGACTTTCAGAGATATTTGAGACAACAAGACAGACAGACATACAAAAAAGTTTTATAAATTATAATTTGGTTTATATAGACACACACATATATGTATGTATATATCCGTCTTCTGTTAGTAAAAAGTGTTTTTTTAATTTCCATACTCAATTTATTTCCGCATATATGTACATATTTAAGCCGTTTATAATGTGAACACGTTTTCATATTCTAACAACAAAATAATACATTTTGTATGTTTATTAATATTCAATATGATCATTAGACATTTTACAAAATTTTACACAATGTAGAGAAATCAGAAAAAAATCCCGACAATGTTGACATGGATATCAGAGGTATTTACTCAACTCAACAAGATTTTGGTATGACATTACGCGGGGCTGGTGGAAGATTACAGAATTTTGGTCAGAACAATAATAATAATCCGAATGGTTTGACTCAAAAACAAGAGATGCTAGCAAGATCGGCAATCAAGTATTGGGTTGAACGTCATAAACATATTGTCAGGTATATAAATTTATATTCAAATTTAAGAACAGTTTAAAGTTATTGTAACTATTGTGTAACTAATGTTTGAAAGTTATGTTACCAACTGATTAAACATTATATAAAAATAGGTTCAAGCGTTACTTACAAGTTTTGTTTATTTAAGGCTGGTTTCATCTATCGGAGATACTTACGGAACAGCTCTGTTATTTCACATGTTGGTTTCAACTATTACGTTGACTTTATTGGCTTACCAGGCTACAAAGGTTTTTATTTATCTTACAATTATTAAATATTATTAACAGTACTAAAGTTATTTCATAATTTACATGAACAAGAACAAGACCTTACAAGAATGTTTTAATTCTTAATACATGCCCTTCTGTTCAGATCAATGGTATAAATGTGTACGCGTTCAGCACAGTTGGCTACTTGAGTTACACCCTTGGTCAGGTATTTCATTTCTGCATCTTCGGTAATCGTCTCATTGAGGAAGTAAGTTCACCTTTCTTTTTGTTTCTCACTACTATTTATCTTGTGTTTCTTGAACTAAACCTGCAATTCAAAACCTTATAATCTACAGAGTTCATCGGTAATGGAAGCTGCTTACTCCTGTCAATGGTACGACGGTTCTGAAGAGGCTAAAACTTTCGTGCAGATAGTTTGCCAACAATGCCAGAAGGCTATGAGTATCTCAGGAGCAAAATTCTTTACCGTCTCTCTGGATTTGTTTGCTTCTGTAAGAATTTTCATTATTTAAACATTATTGTTGACATAAAAAAGTTTTATATTTATTTTAGTAGAGAGAGAAAGAAAGAGAGAGAGAGTTTGAGTATTTATTATTTGCACCACAACCACCACTAATTTACTTGTAGGTAAATTTTAATTCGTTCTCATGCATAATGTATTCATATTGAGTTTCCAAGTTAGTTTGATAACCCTTTGAATATACATACATTTCAAATTAATGTATGAATATATATGATTTTATTATGTCACACGTTAATATCAAATCCTCGCCAGAAAAACAGAACAGTAGAAAATAAGTTAATTATACTGAAAAGTGTTTTCTTTGTTTCTGTTCAAAACCATAACTAACTTTGCGCCGTGACCAGGATTTATTGTTTCGAGCACCGACCAAACCCATTTGATTTCCCTCGTCGTACTAAAAAACACTGCAAGATTGTTTTGTGGCACTGAAACAATTCATTATTTTCAACAAAATATATAAAGAACCTCCGCTTTACACTATTCCATTTGATTAATAAACTCAGTTAAAGCAGTTTAAAGTGATTTAATGTTATTCACTATTTATATTTACAATTAATTTGTGATGTTTAAAAAAATATTCCTAAGTTTTTTATTCTATGGATAGTAAATATATAATATATGTAATATATAATAAATATATATAATTTTATTATTTGTACATTCGAAACTATTTATTCTTTCCAGGTGCTGGGAGCAGTAGTTACATATTTCATGGTATTAGTCCAACTGAAATAAACATTTATTCTTCAGTAATTCTTTCAAATATTATCATAGTCAAAGTATTCTTAAATATTAAAATATTTGTGTCACTAATTCAAGTAAAATTATGTTCTTATAGAAACGTTATATTTAAATAATAATCTCAGATTTATTGATTTTATTTATAAGTGAGTGAAAATAAATGATAAAAATAAATTTGGTTTTCAAATTTTTATTATTATAAAATACTCTACATGTAGTTAATATGTAAATAATTGGTTGTACTCAAACGCTGATTGTGACGTCAAATAAGGACGCGTCTACACTTTTATAAAGCCCTGTCATTAAATTACAGACTTCCTCTCCTCTTCGTTAGTTATCTATTACCCTTGAGTTTTTTAGTATCCGTTCATTGTAAAGACATTTTTCTAACATTCAAATACATAGTATATTTTACTTCTTCTAACTAAAAAAAAAACATTTCGTATTCCTGCAAATTTGCACACATACTCTCTTATGTACTTCAATAGAGGCAATCAATTTATTTAAAATTGAATTAGTCATCTACGTTAACAAAATTAACTTATCACTTGTAAAGTGATAGTATAATACAGGCCAGGAAGAGAAAGTGAGAAATTTTTAAAGAGTAGCGACAAATTAAAATATTGTTTTGGATGACCAACGGCGGGCGTCGAAAGGTCTAGTCGGTGAACTTGTTTATTCAATAGAAATTCTACTTATTTTAATGCTTACCAGAGTAAAGAAAACTATCCCTAAATATAGTTTTAGTATGGTATTTCATTGAGATTAGATTGATTTGTACTTAACATTCTGATAGCAAGCAAAATCGTTATATAGAAATCTACGTATAAATGACTTATCAATAATAAACAATGATTTTATTTAAAAAATATGTTAAATGTACGATTACTTTCAAAAAATTCTGTTACAAACAATTTGTACTATTCAATAAAGACATTAAGGATGAAGCCATAAGCCGTTATTCATTTTTTTATTTGTAAGCATTCTCTGGTTTTGTTTCTGAAACAAAAAAAAGTACCATTTTTCCTTTTATATGTAGGTGGACCAATATTGTTTTTATTTTCGTGACATTTTAAATCAATGTTTTCGAAACTGATAAATAGTTTCGATGGAGTGCCAGCGAAGTCGAGTTAGTTAATAGCTTTTGATTATAAAAAAGATAAAAGATAATAGTTTCTTTAAAGCATATTTTATATAAATTAAACTAATACTTTCGGATTCCTACGAGATGCGTATCTGCCTGTGATCAAGGTTGCTGCAAAGTAACTGAAACTTCGGAAGTATGTAGTTTTTAAAAATAATTAACTACTCGTAATAATCCGAAAATATTAGTTACGTTGAAATGAAAACTAGTAAATGTCTTAGATCTCATTTTATAATTTTAATTCGAGTAATTAGGTTTTTATCATTGTAGGAATCTAAAGTTATTACTAGATTCGTATTGAGCTGTTAATAAATTAATATGAATGAATATAAAATGCCAAATTTATCGATACCATCAAGATTGGCATCAGAAACCTTCATACTGTTTTTATTATCTAATCTTTAAGACGTGATTTAAACACGTTTTAGAATTAAAAGTATTGCCATAGGATATTAGCTATCATCATTACTGTGACTTATTGTTATGTTCACATATGAAGATAATCGTCCCTTACTTTGAATATTAATAAAATAATCTAAACTCTATACTTAATAGGGTTTATCCCTAAAATCTACATTTTAAAATATGGCCATTTCACTCATCTATAAATTTAAGTGATATCAAGTCATGCTTATTCACTCATTAAGCTTTTGTTTTAACAATGTTTTCGTAACTAACAAGATTTATATCAAATCCGATCGGTAAGTAATATGAAAAATAATTTGATAAATATTTGCATGAAATAGGATATAAAACACAAATCATCAGAAATAAAGTGGCAATGATTATAAGGATTGGGGTGGAAGTAAGAGGAAAAATATTACGCCCTAATAACCAAGATAAAAATGGGAAAATAATTTATTATTTTTGCTCTCGTTTTATTTCGTCCCAAGAGATGAAATTACTTTTATATTCGCCTCTGTGTTCCAAAATAATTTATAACACTTTACCGTCTAGTTAAATCAATTAACACGAAAATATCTTCTTAAAATTATAATCACGATTCTATTGTTGAAAACATTATACAAATTACATACTTTTTGTTGTCTGGAAATATACGATTACTGATACTGGAGTAGAATTTTAAGCAAAATTTCATACATTTTAACCCTAGTATATAAAGAACTTGAGCAAAAAAATAAATATATGTGTTTATTCAATTTCAATTGGTATAAATTTATAAGCTTATTTTAAAAGCCACGAACTATATTCTCGTCCACAACAATCTGTCTACTGAGAGTCATTATGTCACTTTGTATGTATATTTTATTAGGTAGGTAAAGACCTACTATATGTATGTACTACAAAAAAATACATGTATATATTCTTGTATTTATATTTTAAGTCATATAAAATTTCATTGTATTGTAATTTTAATGCGACCCATCCCTTATTACAATACATATTTCAGACATACATTTATGTTGATTAAACAAAGGTCTCATTTATGTCACATTTGTTTAATAGTGATATCATTATTTGAACAGTGCATGCGTACTATGGTTATAGTTATTGTGTATTGAAATATTTATTGTAATGAATTATATAATATTGAACATTTTTATGTAGTATTCATGTATGTAATATTTGTACATGAAACAGAAGAAATTACACAATATGATCTATAGTTGATAGACAGAAAATCATCTAAAAGGGAGTGAAAACATCAAAATAGTACAAGATAATTTAAAATTTCTGATAATGCATAATCACCAACACTGAACCTTATCCTTATATGTGAATGAGAACTATCTTAAATGTAATCATAAATCCTACGTAAGGTATTAAAATTGTTATACACTAAGCTATTTCAAAGTTCACATTCCAATAGTCTATAAATCAATATAATAAATAGTAATAAGTTTCTTTAATAATCATATTCAATTTGAAATTTCCTCATTCAGTTCTTCAGTACGGAAACTCGACAATGTAATGTAGATATTTGACATCTAAATAATTAATGACAGGCTGTCTTCTAAGCTAAATATTTATATTTTGTATAAAGCGTAATTACACTTCTCAGTGTCAGCTATGTGTACACATTTGATGGATTGTTGGTAATTTTAATGAAAACTAAATCAAGGATAAATTTACAATGTTATATGAGTTCCTAAGAATACTTAAAAGCGATTGTCAGATAAATTATTATTGTCACAAAGTTTGTGACAATTTCATTCAAAAAGGTACTTAAATCAAGATGTTTTTATTATGTACTTTAGAATTTCATTATCATCACGTATCTTACAAAAGTTGCTAAATAAGATTTTAAACAGATTTTAATATGAGGTTTATTTCGTCTGTGTGGAAAAGTTAATTTGGGCATCATATTTATTTTTGCAAACAACCTCCTCAGCTTTATAAATTATAGCTATTACCCACAACTTTGTCAGCGTCAATTTCTTTTATTATTTTAGTTTTTAACTTTTTTAAAAAACATAATTATTTAATTTTTTATTTTATTTTCTTCACAATCAAATACTCTTAATCAACAACATATTTGTTTGGATAAAGATTAATATTATTATGTTAATACAACTCTTACAAATACTTGTTAAAAATGATTTAATTTCAATATTAAATAAAAACGGTTCTAGTGAGTTAATATTAGAAAATAGATATACATATACCGTCGTATTTTTTTAGATTGTTTTAAGAAGAATATATCTATTATTTATCTATTTGATATCTTAAACCGTTTTCGTAGCTCACGCAACGTAACCCCTCAAAGATTAAAAATTTTTCCCGTTTTTTCCACATTTTACATTGTTTTTTCGCTCGTATTAATCACCTCATGGTAATATATAACCTAAAGCTTTCCTCGATAAATGGTCTATTCAACACAATAAGAATTTTTAAATTCGAACTCATAGTTAAAAACAAACAACAAAACAAACTCTTCACCTTTATTATATTGGCATACATTAAAAAGTACTCTAAGGCCCTAAGTTTTTAAAGTTTTTTCATCAATTACTTGATACAAAATATGAAATAAGTGTGTATATATATACACATACAAATAAATTACTTAATCATAACCTGTCCTTTGTTTTCATTTAATTTAGGTCGAAGGACAATGATCTTTGCAGTAGTGTATGTATGTATTTGAATCATTACTGTAATTATTCTCCAAAGTACGTGAGGTAAAAAATATTTATTTCATTTCTTTTAATGTATTGGAAAAGCATTAAATTGATACATTATTTCTATCAAAGCCAAGTAATATTGATATCACCCATAAAGTTAATAAGGGCTTATTTTCACTGGCTTCATACACAAAAAATATCTTTGACTGTTGAAATATTGAAATTTTCCCTCACAATATAATCTTTGCTGTAATCAATTTATCTTATTACACCCAGCACATCAATTCGCCCCAAGGCGCTTTTGGTTTAATTAAAACAAAGGGAACCTTTATTAACATTAATATATTTATCAGAGTAATTAATTGTACATTTATTACTTACCCAAATCAATCTTCACTAATCTTGATAAAAGATTGGAATATAATAAAAATGTTTTCATTATTTTTTAACGAAATAGACACCACAGAGAAAAATGTACCAAAAATAAATAAATCCGTATAATCTCGTTGAACAATATTTGATAAGTTATCGTAAAGGGAATTGATAATTAATAAGTGATTATTATTTTATAATATTTATTATATATTTGCGATTGCAAAGTGCTCAGTTATTTGATTACTTGTACTTGTTTATTTTATTGTCCCTCACAATATAACACCTGCTCTAACATTTCACTTGTGAGTGTACGAGGTAAATTTGTTTATTATGTCATACCGTACTTGGGAGCACTTGTGACCAGACGTACACTAGAAAGTAATTCATCAAATTTATCAACATATGATATCAACGGGTGAAGCGTTAGTAAGTAAATAGTGGGGTCTATCCAGTTTATTATGAACAATGGCTGTCGAGACTCATCTGGTTGGAACAAATGAAAATAAGATGGTGAAGAAAAGCAAGAGAAAATCGAGAATTAGCGCCTGGTGTCATCTACACTGGCGGAAAATTTTCGCTGAAATGGTATCAACCTTATTGTTACTGCTTTTTGGTTGCATGACTTGTATCCCTATAGATCATAATCATTTTAACTTGGTTATGCGTGGTTCTATCGGATTTGGAATTATAGTGATATTTAATATACAAACATTTGGACATATTTCGGGAGCACATATGAATCCAGTTGTCTCTGTAGCGGCGGCGATTTGGGGACACCTATCCATAGAATTAGCTCTTGCTTACTGTATAGCGCAATGTGTTGGTGCAATTTTAGGTTACGGTATGCTGGTTGCTCTGTCATCAGAAGAAGTAGCAGCTGGTGTATGTGTGAACCATCCTAATTCTAGATATGCAATTTCGCAAGTCCTAGGCACTGAAATATTTATAACTTCAGCATTATTGTTCATCACATGTTCTGTTTGGGATCCCATAAATGAAAAACATCTTGAATCTGCTTCCATTAAAATTGGTCTCACTATTGCGGGCTTATCAATTGCCGGAGCACCAATAACCGGAGCTAGTATGAACCCAGTAAGATCTTTCGCCCCAGCTATTTGGAACAATAATTGGGAAGCTCACTGGGTTTATTGGGTGGGTCCATTTGTTGGAGGAATTTTGACAGCTTTATTATATAAATACGCTTGGCTGAAACGTGTAGATGAAATAAGGAGCACAGAAGTTATCACTTGGTCTGAAGAAGTTGAAGGAGAAGTATAGGAAAATGTATTTATAAATTATTTAATATTAAACTTTTATATAATAATAAAACATGTAATGTATAAATTCAGTGAGTTTTAATCTTATTAAACAAAGTACACCTACAAAATAAAATATTACATTTCGATTAATTGCGAAAATATATACATATATTGTATACAGATATGAACGTAAAATTTTAAACGAACAGAAACAATTATGTGTTGTGTTTCATACACCATTAAGGTATTAATTATAATAAGGTATTAATGATTTTATTATAAACTTGATTCTTTTTTTAATAAAATTAAGAATATTAAGCTTTTTTGCAATTATTAATTTTCTTGGAGAATACCTGAATATTGATTGAAGTTACAATCGTCTGGTTACAGAGTTTCAAAAAGCATTAATGCTGGGTTAATGTTTTTTAAAATGGCTATCCCGTGGCGACTTACAAAAGGTCTAAGGGTATTTAAATTGATGATAAATTTTGACATCTTAAATTATAACACCCCATGAGATTATGCAAGTTAACAGATTTGAATAAAACTAGTTCTATATAATAATTTAACTGTAATATGGAATCTCATTATGACAGCTATTATTTTAGTCAAACATCTTATAAGTTTAAAAAATTATTTAATGAATTATAATTCGTTAAGATGAAAACTTAATCCAGAAATATTTTAGGTATATGTTATAATTTAGACTGCAAATAATTTGGATACTATTAAAATTATTAGTATTGATACTTATACTTTCAAATTTCCCGTAAATAAAATGGGAACGTATATATTGAAATTAACACGAATCTTGTGATTCTCCTATATTTTTTTTAGCCCATCAGACCGCACTGCTGAGCAAAGGCCTCTTTCTCACATGGAGAAGGTTTGAGCATTAATCACCACGCTTGCTCAAGACGGGCTGGTGATTTCAAACTTATAAATGTGAAATTATAAGTCCAGGGTTCCTCACGATGTTTTCCTTAACCGTCTGTCAGTGGTGTTTTTGAATACTCTTAGAAACTACCTATGACTCCGAAAAATCACATTGGTACTTGCCACGATCGAACCCGCGTCCTCGGCTACGAGAAGCGGGCCCTTTAACCGCTAGGCCACCACTGACTTGTTTCTTTTATAAAAGTGTTTTAATAAAATACTATATGACTAAATGTAAAAAAATAAACACTGTTACTCATAAACAAAAAATGAACAATCCTTTGAAAAAATTACTCTGGTTAAAATTTATTATATTTTCTATATTTAAATGTCCCGTTACAATTAATGATTTTCCTGAACGCGTTATGAAAAATGATACTATAAATATATTATTGATACAAATATTGAGTTATAATTGTTTTGTATATGAATCTTATTTTGTCAGCAGTAATTCACAAGAAATCTCAAAAAAAAAATGTTAGTCTTTTTATAATAACTTACCCAGAAACCCTTTTTATTAACGCCTAAAGCGCACATCCCATTTTGTCGACCTCTTGCAAAATTGCGATGAATATAATCTCAAACTTGGCATACTATGTTAGAAAACATAGTTATAATATTTTTACGCCAACAACTATTACTGTGACTATTTATTTCATTATAAAAAAATAGCGTATATTGAACATCCTTGTTATTTACTCTCTTTTCTCGGAAGTATTCAAATAAACATTGAATATTATCTGGTTTATGGTGCCCTTAAAATGCTTGTCAAATAGACAGTTATATTAAATTTCTGGCCGTTAGCCTCTGTCGCATACCGTTTAATGAAATAACATGGTATTAAATACACAAAAGTGATTCTTGACATTAAATCTTTGAACTTTATTGGATTTATAATATTTTAGTATTATGTTTTATGTACAAAAAAACGATTTTAACCAATTAATTAAAAAAGGCATAAGACTGACTAGTAAGTACAATCTTATTTTATCTGTGTATTTAATTTACATTTCTCTTAAACAATATCAGAACATAATTTATATTGCGCATAAATAATCTCAAGCATATTTTAAATTGTACGAATTATATGTATTTCTCTGAGAATCGTGGAGAGGCAAACACTTAATAATAATAAAAATTATTACTTTCACAGTATAAAATATAACATAACAACGTTGTTTAAGAAACATTTCTATATTTTTCAGAGATTTTAAAAACACGTCTCATCAATAACATTACGAAATAAATTCCTACACTTCGTTTGATAGAAACAACTGCTTGATAAAATATTCCGTAGTACATGAATATAAAACGTTTTGTTTAACTACAGTCCTTTTCCTAGTCATTTTCTTTCTATTCACGTGTTTCGTCCCCTGTAAAGGCTTATTATTTATAAGATGGTCGCAGGTAGAATGCCACTAGCATTCCGAGTGTCCTTATACGGAACCTTCTTTGTTATATTCATTATCATAAAACGTAAAATGTGTGCTTAAAATTTTAGTATGTTTTGTGGTTTATTTTAAGTAATTTTGACAAAGGGGAGACAAAAGAGTCAAATGAATCAGTCGCGATATGAGTGGTACGTAAATATTTAATTTATGATAAAGAACTTAGTTTAATATATCAAAATAAAGCAACTTGTCTCCTGAAACCGTTAATGGACTGACGTTTAATGTTTAGTTGAAATATTTCTCTGCCAGAACTGAGCTTACTAATATTATAATTGATGACAGTAACAGTTAATTCAGCAAACTTAGGTCAAAGATAATTCTAATGTTTCAAATCCATCCCCTACAATATCACTTGTATATTGATCATTAATGATATCAAAGATTTTTGCATACACTCATTTAATAAAATGATTTTTTTTTTTGGATATTACGCTTTTCTATAGTTTTATAACTGCATAATTCAGAAGTTTCAATTCCTTTACAGCAACTGCGATTATGGGCTGATAAAATGAAAGTGTTTTGGGGGAAGTAGTGGAGGAAGGAGGAAAGGAGGGGAATAAGGAGATTGCAGAAAAAGGTGGAAAAAGGGAAAGGTCAACTCGCTCTCTCACTCATCGGACAAAACTCAACCATTTCAAAGGTGGTAGAGCCTAGCTGTAGTCAGTTACTACAGCTCGAACATGGGCTGGCTCGACCGGGGAAGTACCACCCTCTCACAGAAGATCGGCGTGAAGTAGCCTTTAATGGCTGCGTTTCGTACGATGAGTGAGAGAGCCGGTTGCCCTTTCCCTATTCCCACCCTTTACTACCATTTCCTTATTCCCGCCCCTCCCTATCCCAAAAAAACAAGGTTGGCAACGCATCTCTAACAAAGATGTTGCGGATGTCAATTCCTTCAAGTGGGCCGTCGGCTCGTTTGCCACCTTTCACATAAAAAAAAAAACCAACCAAACAAACCTACATCGTCTTTGAAAGGTTGGTAATTCCCCAGTCGAGCCAGCCCATGTTCGAGCTGGAGTTATTTATCTATAGCTAGGTGCTACCACTTTTTAATACATTTGTATTGATCATTTTTTAACAATATAAAAGCAGTTTTGGCTTTAAAAGTCGGAAATATTATTTAAGCACAGGTGAATACCCTTATTTTCTATACAATTATTTTTACAAATGAGTATCTACAATTATTTTTACAAATGAGTATCACCAAATAAATATAACAATGAAATGATTAAAGAGAAATTTTCTTAAATTATTGAATATCATTAAAATTTAACAACCATATTAATTTTGTTCAGTAAAACGCTATATATCATGCTCGCGTGACAATGATTTATTTTGTTATGACACTATTAAAGAAATTTTCATAAACAGTTTTAAATAGTTGTATATATTACATAAATATTTAGTGTAGGTTTCAGTGGAATTAATATGAGCAGTCTAAAAATCATATGAAATTTTATATAAAATGAATTTAACTCATACCAAACGTTATCAATTCAGCGAATTATTATCTTAATAACACAGTGTCATTTTCTGTGTCAGCGTACAATAAAATTGGCAGTTGATTTCCCAATAGCGAAGTTGAGCTGGCTGTCCTAAATACGTAATCCCAGACTAATCGAATCCCCAAACCGATGGTCGGCTAATACACTTTACGAATAGATCGCTTCTTTTGATTGCTTAATTTAAGTTTTGAGTTATGCGGTTATCTTATTTGATATTCTAAATGTTTGAGCTTTTAACTTTTTCCTAGTATACTACATGAAGCCTAAATTCAACGTACAGTCAATTAACTGAAATCGGTCTAGCTCGACCGGGATTTTACCACACCCTTCCAACATTGGTTATCGAATACTAGTTAATAAGTAAACATAGATGTTTCACATTTATAACTATGATTTTAGCAAATATTCTAAAATCAATACGTTAAAATTTATCTTGGATTCCTAAATAATAATTTAATATTTGTAATTTCAATACTTGCCCCAATTAAATGTTTCGATAAAATATAATACAATGGACTTAACAAGAAAAGAGATTATAGTTGTAATTGTTGTAATGAACAATCATTATTAATTTCGAGTAAACAGCGTTTAAATAATTTTTAAAGTGTCTCAATATTCATATTAAACTTTGTTAGAATAGATCACATTTATTTACTAAAATATTTTCTATAATAACATAAAAGAAAGGACGTCAAATATGCAGAATATAAATATAAAATCAAATTAGGTACATAAAATAAATTTCTTAGAGTTTAAGAGGGTCTAATGATGCTTAAAATTTGTCACACATTTATACATAGTATATTAAAGTAATTTCTTAATCAACATTTGGGTAGCAAAATAGTATTATTTATTTTTTTCATATCAGAATACATACAAATAAATATACATAACGTTTATGGCACTCAAATAAGTCCATCGTCTTTCTCTCACACTATCAGCTTAAAGCCTTTGGTAATATTGCCGTTCCTTGATACCATCTCGAGCTTAGTAAGTGATGCCACGTACTCTCTTAAAAGGAATACGATCGTGAGTTCTATCTAACAATGAATATTTAAACGATATTATACTTTATCACCTTTCACTAAAGGTGATTTTGAATTTCTTGCTGTATAATATCCAAATGG